CTCCCTTATTATAGTAATACATTTTCTTTCACTGGGCAAAAGATTTCTTTTGTAATTTTACAAAAAATATATCTGGAATTTAGAACATTTAAGTAATAAAATAAATATTTCAACAAAACAAATCGTTCATTGACCATGTCAATAATTTACCTCCAGCTCAAAAAGTACCCGGATCTTGTAACACACAAATTTAAATTTTATTACAAATTTATTTCATCTCCTTCAAAATATGCTCCTTCTGAAGCGATACACATATGCCAACGCTTAACCCAATCTTCCATACACTTTTCGTAGGCCCGTGCAGGTATGACTTTTAGTTCCTTTGGCGAATTCTCTTTAGCCGATTCAATCGACTCAAAACGCTTACCACGAAAGGGCAATTTGAGTTTCGGGAACAGGAAAAAGTAGCAAGGCGCCAGATTTGGTGAATATGGTGCCTGAGCGATGACAGTGGGGCCGTGTTTGGTCAAAAAATCGAGTACAACAAGAATTTTCCATAGTAAAAATCGCTAAATGCACTTGAGGTAGTCTCACATTAACAGCTGCTGTAAACAAACTAATTAACAGATGGCGCTAAAATTTGTACCATATATCAAGAAAGGGTGTACCAACATAACAAAAAAATTTTTTTGATAAAGGTCTATTACTTAAGGAGTCGTTAACAAACAACAAAATCCGGATACTTTTTGAACAGAAGGTATAGCTTATAACTGAACTATATAATAAACGTTTCTTACTTTTTTCTTACATTTGGAGAAGTTCTAAAGAAATTCGAAATTGTATTGTGGCATATCCAATTCACAATACAGTGGCACCATAGCCTTCAAAGTACATTTGGTTTTAATTAATAAACCCTGTAACCATATATTGATATTCTAGCCGCTATATTTCCTCGTGACCGTAAATTATGTTTGCTCTTTTATTACGGCAGGTTACAGGAGTTTAATGTGTAGGAGCAAACTTTAGCTTTTAGACGATTTAAATTACACAAGTAGTAGATACTTGTATGATATGTATGGTTTCTAATAGATCGGAGACCTAGATTTTCAATGTAAATATTAAATGAATTTTAGAGTTTTACTAATCGCTGCTTAAAATAAAACAAACTTAAAAAACATTATTTTAACAATAATTTACAAAACTAATTTGTACTTCTAATTCAGTATTAATCGTATATATACATTTTGTTGCTTACCAGCAGTTACAAGCTATTCTTTATTGAATGTTTTCAACTGAAAGGTATATTAATGCGTAGTGCACCACCATTAAGGATTTGGAAATGCTAAAACGTGATAATGGTAACTTTATACATAGCAAAGTTTTTCCACATATGGTTTTCAAAGTACTATACCTAATAAGAGTGGTTATGGAAACTGATAGAAATTTCTATTTTTAAACTAATCAGTAGAAAAACAGATTAATTGATTATTATAAGTAGTATATGTTATTGTTTTACTGTTGTGCTTTAACTGCTTTTGTTTCAAGATCCTCATATTATTGAAAATTATATTTATTTAAAAATTTCGAACTTATACAGTCGGTAATACAATATATTTAATTGTTCTCAGTACGTCTCCATGGTATGTATACCTGTAGGAAGCTACAATTTAAAATATTTTCATATCACTTTTTAATTTTAACCTCTTATAATAATCTGAGTAACTGAATTAGTTTAGAGAGTAAATTTATTATTAATAAATTAGATAAACTTAATTAAATAATTATTATCAATTTACCATAGATTTTTTGAGACATAGTAAAATTTATGATTCACATTATTTTATCTCAATTTAGACAAATGAACTTCAATCAAAACAAAGTTACTTTCCAATCTGTATTCAATTCCCAACTCCAATATGTGTTTTACTTTAGATAAACATATCTATTTATATCAGGGTAATTAAAAGACTGATCAAGGTTCGAAGAGGAAGCGTGCAATTAAGTTAAGCATTAACTGCATGTTAAGTGAAAGTTTACTTTAGAATTAATATGAATTTAATTAGTATGACAATGCATGTGGTAGGTAAGTTGAAGTGGCGGCCTTATTTCCAAAAAGCCCACTTAAGCTCAAAACATGGCCCATTGTGATACCACATGAATTGCATTGGTACGTACATACATATATTTAAATCAGTATACAGCCAACGCCGAGAAAGGTAACGACTCCCCTATTAGGTGAAGGACAGTTCTATAAACTTGGCCAGGTCCCTAACATTACAGCATGACAGCTCGGTCAGATCGGTGAGAAAATGGGATCCGAAGATTTTTAATCTTCTTCTAGCAATTCATATGCAGTGTAATATTTTCAATGTATAAGTTATTTACTTCAGAGAGGATATATCATTTTCATTATTTTAGTTATTTTTTATGTTAGCTTTCTAAACCTCACAAGAATTGCAATATAACCTATATCAAATACTTGTATAATCTTGTAAGAGAGTAAAGTATTTGAAAATAGTCCAATTCATTTGGTCTTGAACTCGTAATTACTTTTTCGATCGAAATAAAAGTTGGTATATTAATTATTTGTGTTCAAGTCAAAGTCCGGAACTTCACAACAAAATTTTTTATTATTTATTAAATAATTAAATTCAAGAAATATTTCCAAAACACCACTGATAATGGGAAATTTGCAATACCCGGAACAGCTGTATGGTGAGCCAAAATTTCAATTAATTAATGAATAATAAAATTTTTTTTGTTGTAGTTTATTGCTGCTCAAAATACCTCTCTATTAAAAATTCGTCATAATTGAGTTTAAAAATCAAATTTAATAGTATACCTACTTAACTTTATTTTAGGACTTATGTATTAGGATTATCGCACTGACTTTCGCTACCAGTTTTGGAGTAGTTAGTACCTTTAATGTCATTCACTAACACGATATATGGTTTCTATATTCATATTATCTTTCTTATAAATATGGTATATATTTATCATTTTATGCTCTTTACCGTTAACAAAATACTAACAATACTTTTTAACTTCTAATTCTTTTTGATTAGTGAAACAGATGTCGTACTATATGTAGTTCGTTAACCTTTCAGTTCTCAGTGAAATAAGTTACATAGTGAAATGGTAATTTATTAACGGTATGGAAAATATTTAAGTTCAAGACCATGTTGCCATAAGCTATTTACACTTCATGCTGCTATGTTTAAAATAACTTCTATTTAGTTTAGTGAGAAAGACTAGAATTATTAGAAAGTTGTCAACTATTTTATCTATATTATAACTGCTGCCCACTGCATTTTTTTTTCTTAACTTTAGACTTATGAAACTTTAGATGAACTTAAAATAATTTTAAAAATTATTTGTTTTAAAAAGAGAATTATTTCTCCACATATAAACAATTTTAAATAATTCAACATAAACTTTTATAAATAAAAGCAAAATCTTATCAATTCCCTCTCCAATTCCCATCTATTATATAAAACAAATTTTTTTCCTTCTCCTTCAGTAATAATATAAATTTATTCTACATTCACACAAATCTTACAAATGATTGATTGAGTATATACATATGTACATATATGAGTTATATAGCACATTCGATGTGTCCTGGACTACGTTACAAACATATTTTAACGAATTTTATATACACAATATATGTATGTAGGTATGTATGTAGTTGAGGGATGGCAACTAATTTACTTTAGTAAATTGGATTTTGTCATTATTTTTTTCTTCGTTAACAAATATCAAGCGGAATAGATAATATAAAATTTATATCTTTGATGTTAAATACGGACTGCAGTTATCATCGCTATATACCGACGAAGCATCTTCTTCGAAACCATGAAGTCATTGCAACTGGTTACTCATTAGGCTTGCAACTGAAATTTCTCAGAAAGAAAAATCATCCAAAACGGAGAATCCCCGTATAATAAAACTATAGTGGTTCAATTAAAATGTGCATATTTGTCACATAGTACGCATCTATCTCCAACGTTTATCCTGTTGCATTTCTACTCCATAAGATGTCATCAATGCATCATCCTGTAGCATTTACTTTTACTAAATAGATTTAAAGCCACGATATATTTCGTTGGTTAGACTCCTAAAGTTGGGTCTATGTTAATTGAAAATAAAATGTCCACAACAACAAGAAATTTCTGTTTTATACACACAAACACAATACTGGTGAAAAAATTAGTAACAGTAAAGCAAAAGTAAAAAAAAGTTGGAAAAGTCTATCTTTACCTTTTTATATTCACTAAACTTTATATAAAACACATAAAAATCAAATTTCAAACCACGCACACATATTTACACTGTTTATATGGCCAGAATTTTAAGATTCAAAACAAAATGGGTTTAAATGTAGGATTCAAATAAAACCGAACACTGTTTGTGAAAACAGTTTTAATAAACAGTTTCTTATTGTTTTGAAACCGATATTTCAAAACATAGTTATTTAATTATTATTTTAAATAATGTATGCAATCCAGATATAAAGGTGTATACATAATTCATTTAGATCATGTAAACAGAATAAAATATGCTTTGTTGTTTTTTTACACGAAAATTCTTTATATTTGTTTCACTTTAAAATTTGTATAAATTACTGTTCTATTAACAAATAGATGATATATTTTAATATCCACAATATTTTCATAGTAACCAATCTTGGTAGATTTTCTTACCTGTTTCTAGCAATTTTCTAATTGAACTTAAACCATTCAGTTATATATCCATAAATTTACTTTATATTTTTTTTCCAGACAACAGTTTTAATTATTTATAACTATTTCGTATTTTAATAAAATGTGAATTCTATATTTTGACATTTATCACGTACTTGCGCACAATCCACAACATTTCCCTCCAAAAACAATCGCTTGAATAAAAATCAAAACATAACAAATTACATCTTCTTTAACTGCTATCCATTGCATCTACTTTTCTCAAAGTGCTGCCAACTCATTTTTTTTTATTTTGTTGTGACAATTGTGTCCTTAAATAAACATATGTTTTTGACAAATTTTTTATTATTTCTCTTTACTCAATTTAGGCACGCTTTGTATAAATAAAGTGAGTAAAGTTGTTAAATAACAAATATTAATAATATTAAAAAGAAAATAATAATTCTTTTTATTTTAGTGAATTAAAAATGTTTGCAGTTCACTTGAAGAAATGTTTGCAGTATCCAAAAATATCAAAAAATATGTTTTGCACAGTCGCAGCACTAGAGCGGAATGGTATCGCACTTGTACCGACAGATTACCGCACAACACAAAGTAAAATAGATGCACATTCTGATGTACATATTGGGAAATTTTATACAATTCCACCAGAAGATAAAAAGCAATTATTTAGTGGAGGCGGTTTTCCTCGAAAATTCGAAGAACAAGTTAAAACATTTGCAGAATCATGTTTGCTAGTACGTTCACCTGCGCTAGAAATAATAAATTATATTAAACGTTCTGACTTAAGTCGCCCAACTGTTCGTTATGTGGTTTATGGTGACAACGGCGCTGGAAAGACATTGACCTTGGCACATGTCTTACACTATGGTTTGCAAAATGATTTTCTACTTGTACATGTGCCGTGGGTACCGAATTGGATGAAACGTCCTAAAGAAGTTTCTAATATACCAGAACGTGAAGGTTATGTAGACTTACCATTTGATGCGGCTGCTTGGTTAAAACACTTTAAAACACAAAATTCTACGCTACTACCTAAATTAAAACTTACGACATCTAAAGAATATGTCTGGAGCAAACGTGAAACAACACCAGCTGGTTCAAGTATAACTGAGTTGGTTGAACATGGTATTACACGCATTAAATTTGCTTCAGAAACTATTGCTGCGTTATTATCTGAAATTAAACAACATGCTACAGCTGGACAATGTAAAGTGATGGTTGCAATTGATGGATTCAATGCATTTTTTCATCCAGAAACTCGTATTTTGGGTGATAATAAACAAATCATAACACCAGACCGTGTTTCATTGACACAACCATTTGTAGATATAGCTAATTATAATTGGACAAATGGTGTTTGTATTGTAACTGTTGATAAAATTGCAATGACAGAAGGTTATATGGATTCTTATCTGCCACGATATTTGTTGGGTAAAGATGGTTTTGAATGCTTAGATCCGTTTATACCAATACATGTTGGTAATTACACCGAAAAAGAGTTTGCGAGTTGTATTAATTACTATTTGGATCGACATTGGATACAAAAAGCACCCCAAGGATTTGACGAACAATTAAAGTTTTTAAGTAATAAAAATCCATACTATTTAATGCATCTCACAAGATCTTTATAAATTCGCAATAACTGTTGCCTAAATAAACATTGAAAATAATAAATAAGATATTTTGTTTAACTTAATTTTAATTTAATTTTTTTCAAAATTTATATTTCAAAACACTTATCTAAATTTCAAAATTCGCAGTTCGTATATACGACGATGTCAACGTAGTGTATAATTTATTTGTTAAAACAAATTACTATGTTAATTAACTGTTTTTAGTTTACTTTCTTGTTAATAACGTGTTCGCTTATATAGCAAAGATCTATGGCCATGTGCGATTTCGAGTAAATTGAGGGAAATAGTAAATTTTGTCAGTATGGCAGCGAATGTTGGTGTTTACCAGAATTTCGTACAGGATAAATTAAATAAAAATTAGTTAAATTAGGTATTCCCATTGCGAAATTTTTAAAAGATGTTTATTAAATAAATGAATAAAATTGAGAAAATAATAAATAAGTACAATAAATAAGTATTTATATAAGTGTAGTGCGAAAAATATCTAGGTAATTTTAATTCACTTTACCTCAATTTACTCATACACATTAAAAACCAAAAAAAACTAGTTTTACTAAAACGTCCATATAAACCATATATAAATTAACAAATTATTTTATTGGAAACGCGTTAATTGTTATTAAAAATTTAATAAAAGACAAAAATTTCAAAATAGATGAGCTTCTGTCGGACAAAGTAAACTTTTGTATTATTTAGAATACCCTATATCGAAAAGTAATCGATAACATTATAATTTACCATCTCTAAAAAACAGTTGTCAATAATAAACAAAACATTGTGATGTCTAAACAGTAGGTTCTCTAATTATTATATAAAATTTATTACATTAATATATTTAATTTTAAAACAGATATGGACTTATATTGCCTGGTCAAAAGAAAGCGCCAAATCCAGCTCCTCGGTCGAGCGAAGGTTTCAAACCTTCAGTTTTTGATGAAAGTAGTGAATCTGAAGAAGATAATGCACCACCACATTTGAAAATGAAAAAAACTCCCCTGGGACCAGGTTTAATGGAAAGACGAATGGCCCGAAGTATACAGGAGAAAGCCTTAGAAGAAGACCCGACTGTATTTCAATATGATGAGTTATATGATGACATGGAAAATAAGCGTGAAAATGAAAAAGACATCAAAAAGAGAGAACCAAAAAAATCAAAATACATAACACGGCTACTCGAAGTTGCTGAACGACGTAAACTGGAAAATGAATTACGCATTGAACGTCAAGTCCAAAAGGAACGCGAAGCTGAGGGTGAAGAGTTTAAGGATAAAGAAATTTTTGTTACTGCTGCATATCGCAGCAAACTAGAAGAAATGCGTAAGTTAGAAGAAAGTGAGAAACGTGATGAATACCTCGAAGACATTGGAGACGTCAAAAAGCAAAAAAATATTGATGGCTTTTATCGTTACTTGTATGAACAAAAAACCGAAAAAACCGAACCCAAAGAAGTGCAAAAACCAACCTTACCTGAAGTATCTTCAAATGATAATGAAATGGAATACAAACCTATTAAATCCCACAAATCGCAACGAACCTACCGTAAACGACATTCATCCGACGACGATGATGCTGATGTCAAGGAAAAGGATGCACCAATATCAGAAACCAAGAAAATGCATTTACAGAATAATATAGATGCAGACTCAGATTTTAGTATAGACTCCTCTTCTGATGATGATGAAGGTCGTGATGATCTTCCTAATAAAAAAATGAAGAAAACTAATGATATAAAAAATGAAAAAAACAAGGAGAAACTTAGTCCAAAAATTAAAATAGATTCAACAAAACTTGCTTTAAAGCTGGATAAATTAAGAAAGGAAGACGATGAACCTGAAACTAAATCGATTGAAAATGAAGATAATAAAACGGTAACCGATATGATATTTACAAAAGAAATCAAAGAAACTAAACCCAAAATAGATAAAAGTGAAATATGGAAAAAGCGAACTGTTGGAGATGTTTTCGATGCAGCTGTGCAGCGTTACTTTGAACGTAAAGCAGCCAAGAGTGGATAAAATATGTAATTAAAAAGAAATTTATTTGTTCAAAAAATGAATAAAATTTTATTAGTAAAAGAAAAATATGTATATACATTAAGACTGAAAAGTTTTCGGAAATTCTCATTTAAAATTCGCGCGCTGTATATTTTTCGATATTTTAAGTTTATGTAGTTTGGCAGCACTGTCCTTAATTACTATGCCAAAAATGAGCTCGATCTGTCAGACAGTTCGTTTACGGCAGCTGTTGAAACCAGTTCACCTCAGTAGTGCGTTGCGAAATGTCTTCGACGGTCGTACGACCGTCCTGGAAGGCTTTGTACCACTCATAAACTTGAGTTTTCGATAAAACTGATTCCCCATAAGCCTTTTGTAGCATTCGCAACGATTCTGCACACGAAATTTCGTTCGAAACACAAAATTTGATGCAAACTCTTTGTTCAATATTTTTTTCCATTGTTTTTTTCGCAACGCCCTACTGAGGTGAACTGGTTTCAACAGCTGCCGTAAACGAACTGTCTGACAGATCGCGCTCATTTTTGGCATAGTAATTAAGGACAGTGCTGCCAAACTACATAAACTTAAAATATCGGAAAATATACAGCGCGCGAATTTTAAATGAGAATTTCCGAAAACTTTTCGGTCTTAATGTAAGTATTAATTTCAAATATATTAAATTTTTACACAAAACATATATTCAATATTTGGAGTCATTTTATTTATACATATTTAGCATAAATATAGATTATTTTATATCATCAAATAGATCATCAAATATCTAAAAGTGAGTTATCAAATTATATTACCCCTTGAAGTATTTTATTGAAACTTCAAGTAAACGCGATTTACATTAAAAATTATCGTGATGTCGAAATAATTTTAAATTTCTTATCAAGTATAAGAAACAATTTTTTTTAAATAATTATACATATAAACAGAGAGAGATATTGATTTGAAAAATATGAGCTTCAATATATAATATTTGTTTTATATTAAAATTTCAATCTGTGGTGAAAACATTTTGATCACATCTATGTTATTACATACGGTATGGTGGTGAAATACAGCCTTGTCAAACATAAAAGTGTAAACGTCAGAGACAGTGTGAAAACAAAATTGATTTTTAATATTTTCAATATCTATTTTTTAAGAATTAATGAATTTGTTGCGAAAACAAAAAGTAATTGATACAATATATTGCATTCATTCATTTTAAACTAATTCATATAATAATTATATATTTAAAAATATGGCTGACAAGCCTCCTGTACTTCCACCAGCTTCAGAGCCATTTCCAGGTTGTTGTAAAGTATTTTTTATCTATATGTAACATTACCACATTTTTTTTTTCGTATAAACAGGTTCTCGTACCCCAGGATGGAATGATCCTCCTACATTACAATACAATCCACTAGCACCAACAACAAGCAACAATCGAACTCGTTTAAACCTAAATAAGCGGGTGGCTTTTCCACTACAAGGAGCAACCGCAAAACCAACTGCAATAGTCCCTCCGAATCAATCTTCTTTGCCACCAATTATGTCATTACCACCGACAGTGGCTGGCACAACTCAACCTATTGCCGTTGTACACCCAATGCCAAACGTAGGCACAATTCCCTTAAGAAATTATACATATACGGATGTTATATATGTATTAAGAATTTTGCGTGAACAGATTTTAGCGATAGTAGAAACAGCAGAAGTTTCAAGAGAGGAAATATTGAGACGTATTAATCCAATTGAACAGTTATGGCAAAGTATGAGTGCACCGGTACAGGAACGGCTTTATCGAATATCAGAAGGTATATGAATTGGTTAACTCATAACTTTTAATACAATACTTATTACTTATTGTTATTATTTTTTTATATTAATAGCAATAAGGGACAATAACTACAATGAATCGATGAAAGCATACATGACACTAGTAACACATAATGCCAATGAATGCGCAAATTGGAGTATGGCTTTAAAACATATAATATTAACTTTACAACCAGCCAACAATGAACAGGAACCATCTGCGTTACATATACAATCAATGTTCGTTCCAGGAGTTCCGCAGTTAGATGTAAACAGTGATATCTTAAGAGAAACAAATGCTCAAAACATTGCTTCACAAACAAATATTACCCATTCTGATATTCAGCACATTTGATAAAAACTTATCTATTTTAATTTTTTTAAAAGCACTTTCGTGATTTAGACTACTCTAACATACTTTTTGCTCGATATGGAATTTAAATACATATTTAAAACTAGATTTAGAATTGAAACTTTATATTTCTGCATTCTCTACGTATTGTAAACGTATTGTGTAAATCATTCTTATATTGTCAACACTAACGGAAAAAAAGCAAATTAAAGCAATCTGTCGCTATCGGCTTTAAAATATACTCATTGCTGGTGTACTGTGAACTTATGACGAATTATAACAAATATAAGAATTCTAATTGTGTATTATCTTTGTTAGCACTTTTCGTGTATTTAGTCAAAATATCTTGTAAGAATAGTAATAATTATGGATGCTATTTTTATATAATTTTTTTGCTGCAATAAAATGTGCTTCATTTCTTGCAATTTATATTTATAATTTGCTTAAGCAATAACATAAAATTTTGGTACTTTTAACTTTCAATTTTATATTCAACTTCATATTGTATTTATGCTTAAAGCTCTTGAATAAATACATGTAAAAATATATTAATTATATGCGTCTCCAATATTTATTTTACAATAATTTTAAATATTGTGGTAAGCATCAACATAATAATCATCAATATATTTGTTTTATAAAGTTTATAAATAATTCCTAATGAAATGTGTGGCATGATGAACATAACTACAAGTGTACAAGCGTTTTTCAGGATTTATGAAACATATAGAAATGTTCTGTTCAATTCTTCACAAAAAGATAAATAATTCATATTTGAAACATATCCGTTTTGCTATAGAATTTTATTAAAATTTTAGCCTTTTATATATACTATATACTTCACACATAATTAAACAAAGAAAAAAGTTTTCACCATGGCAAGTTCCCTCCATCATATCTAAAAAAGCCTCCGTTATGACTTTCATTGAATGTAAGTAAAGTTGATAATATATTCATAGTACTTGTGGTTACATCAAGTGGCGCATCCTTTCCTCCCACATCTGTGCGAACCCATCCCGGATGTATACTGACGCAAAGAATTTTATCAGGGGACAAGTCAATGCTCATAGATTTAGTAGCAGCATTCAAACCAGCCTAAAAAATTTGATATTGATTTATTTGTGACTGTATATGTATATGTTCTGCGTAAATAAAGTACCTTAGATGTACGATACGGATATTTTGCACCATCTGTATTAGATGCAATGGAGCCACGTATTGAACTGATATTAATTATCGCTGCACGTTCTATACCCATTTTCTTATTTTGATTTGCTTTAGAAGCTTTTCTCAAAAGCGGTAAACAAGCCTGAATATTTGTAAAGGAAATTAATTTAGAATTTACCCATGTATTACTTTTGGTGAATTTACTTTTGTAAACATTATTGGCATTATTGTGTTTGTTGTAAGTACATCTCGAAGGTCCTCGTATTCCAATTCATCAAGTGTTTTAGTTTTTGGTCCTACTCCGGCATTATTAATTAATAAATTAATTCCATCGTTTTTAACAACATCCCCCACATGCTTTATTAAATTTTTGTAACTGTCAAAGTTTTGTAAATCTTAAAATATAAATAATTACTATAATATATGTATTTATATGTATACATCTAATTACCTATTTCCAATATATGTATATTAGAATGTTTAGCACGCAAGTCTTGTAGTTCCTTTAAAATACATAGTTAATTTATAATTGTAAATTATTAATAAGTGTATTTTACTTTAGCCTTTTCCATATTCCTACATGTTGCGAATATATTTTTGGGGGAATTCGATAACTCTGCAAATCTCTGCACCAGTCCCAAACCAAGTCCACGATTGCAACCAGTTATTAATACATTCATTTCAAATAATTAACTAACCTCTAAAAATTAAATCACAAAGATGAAATAAAAATATTTTAAAATATGGTTCAGTTTGAAATGTACTTCACCGAATAGTACGAAATAAGTTAATTTTTAGTGTTGTAAAATTAATAAAAACCGAAAGCTGACATTTGATTTATAATTTTGTTAAATTGATAAAAAGTACTTGTTTTTAAAAATAATTGATTTAACAATGAAATAATTATTATCTAAATGTTTAAAATTTGCTGTAACTTGAATAGTTTATATTGGGGACTTTAAATAAGCGTGACTTAAAGCAAATTTACAAATTAAAAATTTTAATTTAATTTTGCAAATTACAAATTAATTTTTTAATTTTGTTTTAAAAATTAATTTTACTATTTACAATATGAATAAATAAAATTATGTATATGATGATGCAGTGCTTAAAACAATTAACAATACTAAAGCAAAGGCAATAAGAATATAATTTCACAAAAAATGCCAAACAATAGCACTAAAAATCGAAAACCTAAAATCTTCAACATAATATATTAATTTATTTAAGATAGGTTTATTTAAAGTAGATTGAAAATGTTCACTTCATATGAAATATACTTCCAAATTGAATTTATATAAACTATAAAGTAAACTCCTTCAATGACTCTGTCACTGCTCAAATATATTGTATAGGCTTATATTAGCTAGTATATTTGACCCCTAATTCATTGAAAACTTGAAAATTAGATTTTAAATTAAACTAGATTTTTATTTTTAAACTTTTCTTGTAAACAGTACTAAATTTTTATTCAAAACAATAATAACATTTTGAAATCTAAAGGGTCGAGCGCCCTCCGCCCCTACCTGTGTACGCCCATGGGTATAACAATTATTTATGAAGTTTTTTAAGTGCTTATATCAATCCTATTTATTACCCAAAGAGAAAACCCTCCACATAGATGTAATATCCTCTTCGAGACCAAGGTTGATTCACAATGTTTTCAACAGGCCCCCGCCTAACAACTCTCCATGCAGCAAGAACAATCCTAGTTCAGTTGAGATCAGGACATAGGCAAGTACTGAACAGTTAATAAACAGTTACATAAAGCTGCCCAAACTGCAGCTCTACTCCCCATGACATCTCCATCTGTATTCTTGCTCCACCGTACACACAAACCACCATCCAATCGACTTTTGGACCCACCCCCTCGACCCGGGTTGATTTCAATTCAATTTCACCCATCCACAATCCAATCCTTCTATCATATTCCTTTCGCCCTGCTTTCAATTACTATCTATCCACTTCCTAATTCATGTATTCGTATTGTTAAATCTTTCATGTTATATGATTTTAGCTTCCCGCATGTTACAACAACTACTACCAGAAGAAAGTTGCTAGAAATTAAATACACTGTAAAAGATTTATTTTTTTTTCTAAATGTATTCTCTTATTTATTTATATAAGTACATTTCATTATAATAAATAATCAACAAAAATAAATAATCAACAAAAATAAATAATACTTATATAAATATAATACTTCGAATAGACGTTTTATATTTTAAATATTGTTTTAAATATTGTCTTCACAAATTTTTTAACATCATATTGGTCCTTTATGAATTTTGTCTATCATCAATAAAATTTAGATAATTTGTTTTGTGTGTGTTTCAAATTATACAAGTTGTCCCCCTATATATGGTGGAATAGGGCAAATACAATTTTATCTCTAGACAACTCAATGCAAATTGATTTATTTGCCATATTTTAAGCCGCTTTGTATGTAATACATTAACTAAAAATAAAATTAAATAATATACATATATTTACACATATATATATTCATATTTCTGATAAAAGATATGATAGTAACCCACCGATCATGTTGCCTGCAATGGAACAAACTTTAAAGCTCATATTGAGAACACCAGTTCATCATAAACTCGTTTTCCTACCGGTTTAGATTTAAACGCCTCTGTAATCATAGAGAAAGCATAACTTAAAAATGCACTTATTAGTTATTTATATAAAAATTTAAGTCATGTCATGTACTTTTGTGCATTACAGGAGTAAATGTATTTATCTATAAAATGTTTATTAAACTTTGAGTGTTAATAAAAATTAAGACTACTTACTCTTTATGCCACCATTGTTGAAAAGCACATCCATCTTCATCTTTTCGCCAAATTTAAAGTAATCTGTAACACAATTGTTTAATTTCATATACTATTAATAATTTCATATATATATATATATATATATATTGAAAATAATAAATATATTTAGAAAAATTGTGTCAACTTCCAGGATGAATACATACATTAGAGTTCATTTTTGTTTGTCATTGAGCACATGATATTTATTATTTTAAAATGCAATATTGATAGTATTCATACTTGAATTTGAATTTCACAACTTATTGTAATTGACACAAATTTAATAGACTTTTGGTCACAATCAGCTTACCTTAGCTTTGGAAGTGTTCCGAAGTGTAGCAATTATATATTTTGGTAGATGTAGCATTGAGATCAACGCTTTTACAGCTCCTAAATTCAACCCATATTTGTCACCGATAATAAGTGCAGAATTCATACATAAATTATTGTTCAAATTTATATATATAAATTTATTTAGTTTTTCAAGCAATTCAATATTTCCTAAAGCCGGTAACGATAGCTTATCTCATCAAAATTTTTTGCTGCGTAATTACCAAAGAAAACGTTCTCTGGTAATCACAATTAAATTTGTCAATTCACAATAACATTTTTAATTAGCAATTATACAAAATGAAAGATTTTAAACAAACAAATATATGTTTTCTATATAAAATAGTCACAACAATTTCTGAACATAGTTTTTACACAATTATAACGTGTGCAATTAGTTGAATATCTCTATTAACAATAACATTAAGTCATAATTAAATAATATTTTAAGGTATCATATTTGCTCATTATCATTATTAGGTTCCATGCTCACTTACTACATAACGTAATCATCTGATTTCATTCATTCCACAAGGTGTTCATTCCAGAAATATGTATATCAACAGAACACTTTAATATAAAATAACATCATAGTAGCTCATAAATTTAGATTTTCAGTTTAAATTGTAGTAAAATTATAATTAAACTGATTTTTATCATCTTGTCAATAACATCACAACTTTAAATGTACATATCGTTTCATTCTCTGAATCATACCTGTTACGACGAATATAATAAATTCTTCCATACTCGTGTAAAAAGTTTTCTTACTATGTTCTATTTTTAACTTTAAAAGGCTCACCCTGTAAATTTTTGTGAGAACATTTTTGAAAACAATAATTCCATCTAATCAATATAACTTATCTACGTCACTATCTTTGAGAGAACGCTGTTGAGAGGTGTTTATATAAATACCGGCACGCTAGAAGTGTTTATTCATTCCATTAGCTTCACTAGTTCTGTTCGTGATTTATATACTAACATTTCAACAATGAATTCCATTCTAATTACTGGATGCAATCGAGGATTAGGACTCGGTATAGTAAAAGAATTACTGCTTTTACCAAACGTCCCGAAATACATTTTTGCCACCTGTCGTGATCAGTCAAAAGCAAAAGTAAGATAATATTAATAGTTTATCTTTATTTTATGTATACATGTATGTATGCACATTTTGTATGTACAAAATGAAAATATGTATTTGTTACCAGCACTTAAGCAATGATTCAGTATAAATGAATTCAAAAGCTTTATATGTATTGATTAAAATATATTACAAATTTAAAATATAATATTACAAGTATATGATTTTTTTTTGTTCAAGGAACTTCAAGAGCTGGCTGCTAAACATTCCAACATATATATATTGGAAATTGGTATAAGACATTTATTAATTAAAAAAATTAAAAAATTTAATTATTATTTCAACTATATAACTTTTAGATTTGCTAAAATACAGTGATTATGCAAATTTGGTTCAAAAAGTTGATGAAATCACAAAAGGAGAAGGTCTCAACGTGCTTTTCAACAATGCAGGTATAGCAAAGTGGGAAAGAAGTATTGATGACATTGAGGCTGAAAACTTGCTTTCCATATATGAAACAAATTCTGTTGCGCCTTTACTTCTTGCAAAAGTAAGTTAATGTACATTTTAGTTTAAAATAAATTATTTATAATTACTTTAAAGGCTTTCGTACCATTATTGAAAAAAGCATCGAAAGCCAATGAAAAGAAACCAATGGGATTGGAACGTGCTGCTATATTAAATATGAGCTCAAGAGTTGGCTCTATTGATGATAATACCAGTGGTGGTCTATATTCTTATCGTATGTCTAAAGTAAGTTCAGTTGTTAAAATATTCAGTTTGAAGTATTTCACAGTAAAATTTATTAGGCGGCTTTGAACATGGCAACAAAATCATTAAGCATAAATTTGAAGGAAGAAAAAATATTATGTGTGACTTTGCATCCTGGTTGGGTACAAACTGACATGGGCGGAGCAAATGCACCATTAGATGTGGAAACAAGCACCAAATTATTAGTTCAAAATGTTATAAGTTTTAATGAAAAACATAATGGTGAATTTTATCAATATGATGGTAAACAATTGCCTTGGTAATATGATAAAAATATTCAAATATTTTGTTGTTATCAATAATTAAATAATAAATATTTATATGTAAAGAAACTGTATTATTATTATTATTATTATTTACCAGATTACTTTACGATCATAATAACATATAATTATTTTATTATAATGAAGAAATGCTTATATATGCTTTTTCCTATTTAAAATATATCAAATATTGGGCCTATTTACACTATCATGAACATGAACTTGAAAACCGGTTGCTTATTGATGAGAGAGGGAAGAGAGTGTGATGTGAGTTCATGAATTTCACGCAATAAAATTTGCTGCGTTTCTTTAGCTTGAGACGCATACATATGCAATGTTATGTTTATATTTACCTTTTAATACTGAATACTCTCAATTTCTGTGCTCTGCTACGCACAAGCATTTTATACGTTTACGTAGCTTAACTGCCCAGCGGGACTTTCAGCGCTGAGGGAATCGATTCCCTCAGCGCTGAATGGTAATGCCTAGCGCTGATTATTCAAAGGAAACTCCTAATTACTTTAACACGTGCATGTCATTGCGGGCAAGCGCTGAATCGTTCGATTACCTTTTCAAATTTGTAATGCAACATTTCAGCGCTGACATGCTCGCTTACCTTTTCGAATTTGTAATGCAACATATCAGCGCTGACATGTTCGCTTACTTTTTCGAATTTGTAATGCAACATATCAGCGCTGACATGTTAGCTTACCTTTTCGAATTTGTAATGCAACATATCAGCGCTGACATGTTCGCTTACCTTTTAAATTTTACCTATGCTATTGATTTTTAAATAAAATACTATAAATTTTTTTGGATAAATTATATTTTATATTTATGTTTTATAAAATTAAAATATTAATATTTACATAAAAAAATATAACATACTTATATATATGAATATTTTTCTGGAAATTGTTACTAACACCTTGAAGAGATTTCCAGACTCGACTCGATCACTTGTTCCGGCTTACCATCTGTACTTAAAGCATCTGTAAATACAAAAGTATGTTATTGTATACGCTAAAGTTAATTATGTACAATATACCATACCAAAAAGTGCTGCTGTCACATTCTCTAACGCTCTTAAGGACTTCTTGCCTTGGGTACCATTCTCCAAAATTCCAGGAAATTTTTCGCGTAATTGGTTGTTTTTTAATAACGCGTCTCATTGATGCAGTCTATAAATAACGTAATAGATGAAAAGAAATGTATGAATTAGTAAAATTGTTACATGTGAATATATTAATAAGTTGAAATTGAAAGTAAGAAACATATATAATTTAACTTACAACTACTTCAACGGCAGTGATTTCTTCATTAAATTGAATTAAATCCTACTCAGTTTGAATTGTAAAATTTTCCATTTGAAACAGCTGACTGCATTTTACCCTTGCTTTAGAATGACTGCATTCGCAGCACATTGTTCAATTAATCGTTCTTGACGCAGTAGCATCTACATAATACAAAACAAAAATTTCAATTATCATTTTAAATATATTTACTTAATTTTGCATATACTTACAGTGAGTTTATGATAAATTCACAAATTATATATTATTTATATTTTTGATTTTATTTTGATTTTAAAAATTAAAAATTGTTCACTGTACGCACTTCACTAAAATCAAAAGCAGAACTAAATGTATACAATGTAGGCAAAACAAGAAATTCTTAATACTCCTTTGCTTTTCTTCTTCGTTCTTTTATAATTTCAACCCCGAAATTGCCTATGTCAAACACAAATGTCGAAAATAAAGAAAAATAAAAACGAAGAGCTATTACCTCTTCGCTTACTTTTTCAGCGCTGGTATAATGGTGCCGCTGGGTGACAGTTCATGTTGTCGTCCAGTTCAAACCACCTTCATGATAGTGTAAATAAGCCCATTGAGTTCACTAATGTGGAAAAAGTTACAAGGTTTCAATACTACGTTTTATTTTCAAATTTTAAAAAACTCACATTGTACAATAGAGAACATTTTTGAAAATAATTGTTTCAACTAATAAAATAAAAAGTACTTACTCACTATTTTTCAGAGAATGCTATTGAGAGATACTCATATAAATACCGGCAGTCAGAAGTTTTTATTCGTTCCATTAGCTTCACTAGCTCCACTAGTTCTGTTCGTGCTTTATATACTAACATTTCAACAATGAATTCCATTCTAATTACTGGATGCAATCGAGGATTAGGACTCGGTATAGTAAAAGAATTACTCCTTTACCAGACGTCCCAAAATACATTTTTGCAACCTGTAAGTTGCATGTAACGTGTAAGTTACATGTAAGTTTTTAGTTAAAAGGTGTCAGTTTACATTTGTGTGGTACAGTGGAAAGATAAATTTCTGCTTTATAAAGTGTAACAACAACAAAAAAATAAGACAAAATTACAGACCTTTTAAAACATTTTAAGATTGAAAAAAATCTGCTAACAGTGTAAGAATTCTGGGTTTAGTTATAAGATAAAAATAAAGGACTACGGAAAAGTTGTCACATATTTGCAGGCCAAACAAGTCACAAAAACTAGAAGTTCATTAATTGTAAAAATGTAACTTCTATCCATTTGGATAGAAAATCAGAGTCAAAGAAGAGTGCCATTGAACGAAATGTTAATTCAAATTAAGTCTATGTCGATATTCAATGAGTTAAAAGGTAATTCTCCATCAGCAAGTGGTTCAACACCAGAATATTTTTTGAAATTAAATATGTGGAGAATGTGATTCCATTTGCGTTGTTTCGATTTGCGTCGAATTTTGTCAGTTCCAATTAACGACGCAAATCGGGGTATTACTGTCCAAGTCTACAACTTCAACAGATTAGGTAAAGCAATTACTTTCGTTTTTATTGTAGCTCAGAAAGTACAAAGAATATTTAAATTTAATACTAATTTTGCTTTTCATTTTTGTTTTTGTGTTGCATGACATATCCAATACATAATAAATTATCACTACACTAACATCCTATCATACTATGTATTAAATAATTTTAAGGCCTGTGTCGCTATAACTTTAATTTCTTATATAAGTTAATCGTATCTTTTAAGTACAATGTAACTTCTGAATAAAAAAAAATCTCATAAATTAATTCGTAATTCACAAAAACACAAATCTGAATCAATATTATAAATAATTCGTAATAAACTATAGCGAAGCAGATTCAAATATTGCTGCAGTGATCAGCATTTTTATATACGAGCGAAATTCTAATATCGAATATGAGACACAATAGGTGTATTGTTGGTATATTAGATATTGTTAGGCGTATTCTTTTGACATGAATTCTCCAATAGAACATTTTAGTTGCTTAAGAAAAACTTGACATCATTGCCTATATCAGTAAACATGACAAATCACCAACGCAACAAGCGAACTATTGTGAACCTTCATTGGAAATTTCAACGAACATTCCAATCATATGTCATAATCATATTTTCTTTATAAACAAAAATTCAAATAAAATTAAAATGTTTCACAAATTTGAAAATTGTGAAAATGTCTTATTTTAAAAATATGCACAACTGTAAAAAATAAATATTTTAAAAATATATACGTAAATATATACAAAAATTTATAAAAGTACATGGAAAAACTATAATTGAAAAAAGTTTCAAATTTTTTAACTTATTAGTTGCATAAATATTCTAAACTATATTACTTCTGTTGTAAAAGAATATTTTAAAATTTCCTACCTTCTTAACATTACTTTTAATTATTTATTTTAATTTTATATATATTATTTATTTTCATGCAATATGTAATTAGCTTGCGTTATGTGCATTTATGCAAGACTTGCTATTTGTGAAAACATGTCATTTGACAGATGGCACCAGTGATGCCAATATCTCACTTAGCGTCTGTAGGCTTGCTGTTTTTTTTTACATGTAATAGCTACCGAAAGCACCTATTGAAAAAACGCATTAGCAAACGACGTACTAAGATTGTGAACTGCCCTTATAATTTTATAATGCATATACTACGTTTACATTTTGATATTAAGAGAACGAGATTAAGTTAATCTGCATTTTTAATCTACACCATTTACATTATACATTGGAGTTTAATTTTGACGTTTCTCTTGTGTTTTGTTTCGTGTGTTTAATAATTTCTGTAAATGTCGTAAAAAAAAAACTACGGTGTTAAGACATCAGCAGAGTTACATAGAGAAATAATCGCCGTTTCTAAAGAGATTTAAAATTAATCTCGACCAAAATGAGTTTAATTTTTGTATCGAAAATCTGTATTTAAACAACTAGATTAGTATTTTAACATCGATGTATGCTTTAATCTACTTTTAATCTCACAATGTAAACGCAGTATTATTAATCACTTTGCGAAATTTTGCTTTACATCATAGAATACTAAAGAAAGGTGTCACTGGCTTTACATTTTTTATTGTGAATAGTTAATGTTTTAATATGGCAATTATTAGGCAATAATATTACATTTGTTTACAAAGTGTCATAATTTGTTTAATGATACGAAAGGATACTAATAAAAAATAAATAATATGACGAATTTATGCAGATTATGTGTTAGTACTGTAGATCCATCGAACGCAATTGATATATTTAAAGAACATTATAAAAAGAACTTAGAAATAATTGAATCTGTAATTGATTTTAAGGTATTGTTTTGTTTAATATTTGTTATAAATAATATGTGCTTATATATGTAAATTATGTCGTGCAGCTCGTTGATTCTTTACCACAATACATTTGCTTAATTTGCGAAAATATGGTAGAGGAAGCACATAAATTCCGAATACGATGTAAAAGAGCTCAACAATATTTTAACAGCCAAAAGTTTAAAGTAAGATGTAACAATGCGTTATCACCTCAAGCAGACTTACTTACTCATGATGATGTCATTGAAGACGTTATTGTGAAGGATGAATCTTCTGAAGTTGAATATGTTTTATCAGATATAACTACAGAAACAGAAAGCAAATATTGTGACACAAATGAATACGATTCAGAAACAAATACTATTGAAGAAGTTACGATTGACGAAGCGGAAATGGAAGTGAAAATGAGTGAAGATAAAGATTTTATTGATAACCATGCAGAAATAGATGATGTTGAAAATAAAAATAAAGAAGATGATGATATGGTTATAAAACAAATAATTAAAGAAATAGAGGATGAGAAAAAAATTTTTAACGAAAATAAAAAGAAAAATCAAATATTGCCATATATGTGTGAGAGGTGCGGTCATTCTTTCTCAAGTTGGAACCAATGTCTCGCACATATGCGACGACATGTCGGAGACAAACCATTTCATTGCACGTAAGTTAATTAAAAATGAGTTTATATAAAAATAATAAACATATAATTTATAGGTATTGCCCTAGCAAATTTGTTACGAATACGGAACTTAAACGTCATGTTCGCACACATACTGGTTAGATTAACTAAATAATAGATCTGTTTCACGAGCTACTCATAGTAACTTTGAGTAAACACTGTGTATATACAAGCGCGTTCCACCAGCAAATTTTCAAGTATTTTTGTGTAAATTTTACTTCTGTTTTACTTATGTTTTACTATGAGTAGCTCGTGGAACAGACCTAATATAGGTTTTTCACATTAAAACAATTTTTTTTTAGGTGAACGTCCATACAAATGTAGTTACTGTGAAAGCAGCTTTTCCGATTTATCAACAAAAGTTCAGCATGAAAGGTTCAGAGATTTAGATTGTTATTACAATAATATCCGATATATAACATTTAAATAAATTTTTTTAATGAAGACTGTGTTTAACACTAAAATACAATATATATAACAATATTATTGTAATTGTAATTCAATTATTGATCTATATATCGGATTAATTTAAATAATTATTTTTTTATGTATATAATGCATTATAGTTAGTAATATGGATTGAATAGTATGTAAAATAAAGTATTGTATAATAGGAAATTTTTAAAAATATTGTATAAATTTATAAAAGCACTTTTGTAAACTATAAATATAAGATTACTTAAGTTATACTGGCACGATTCTGATTTCTTGGGCACATCGCCTTACATACGAATTTCATTACGAACGTCTAAAACTATTTAAATATGGTACACTTAACGACAACTACGCACGCTTTTTAGCACAAGAATTATATATAATTGTTCGTTTATGCAAACAACTGGTGCACCAGATGATTTATGTAATAGTTACTGACAGTTTACATGCAATAAATTCCAATTTTAAAGATCGATATCTTAAAAACTAATAACTGACTCTACTAAGATCAGTTATAAAATACAGACTCCCGGAAAATCGGAATCGTGCCATATTGTCACGGATTTAACTGACAAATAGCTAATCTTTATTTAATTTATTTCGCAGATCTCATACAAATGAACGCCCTTATAAATGCAAACATTGTGGTAAAGGATTTAGATCAACAGACCGTTTAAAGAACCATGCGCTGATACACACGGGTGAACGTAACTTCAGGTAGAAATTATTATTTAAGCTGTTCATATAAAGCAATAACAAAAATCTATTTGAATTCTTTCAGTTGTACTATCTGTGATAAATCATTTCAACGTCGAACCCACTTAACTGCTCATAATAAATCGAAGTCACATAAAAAAAAAGTATCTAGTACATAGCTTGGTGTATAAATACCAAATATTACAACCCTTTTAAAATTTTTTTATTTATATTTTTTCTTACATTTCTTTATTCCTAATGTGTTAATAATGACACGACTTAAATTTTTAAAAAGTATTCTATTTATTTGATATAATATGTATTAATATAAATTAAGTTTAGAAGTGGGTTCTGTGCTTAATATACTGTTAATGCTGGAAATATGTTGTTGTTGTAACTTTTATTGAAAGAAAAGAGCGGCACTTGGTCTAAAAACACGAATGGCCTCGGACCATAACACCATAACACCCTTTCCTTTCTGCTTATTTAATATAAGAAACATATAGTATAAAAATAAATTATAATAAATTTATTTATTAATTCAAGGTCTTGTTTATATGAAATATATTTAACGTCTATATGTAGTATTTACATGAACAATATTTTCATGTTTTTAAATACAAATTTTTAATTAAAATTTGTGTAAACGATTTTAATTAAATATGTTATTTAAGTAATTAAAAATTATTTATATTATAACTTTGGTTTATTTGATTTTAATAATAAACATAATTTACATTTCTAATAATAATATGCATAAGCTTAATATTTTAATATTAATAATTTTTACCAAGGTAATTGTTTTCCATCATATTGGTAGAATCCACCGTTGTGGCTTGAATTTAATTCCATTAATGTTTTAACGATTGTACTTGTGCTTGTATCAACATCAAGTGGCGCATTAGAACCGCCTAATTCAGTTCTTACCCAACCGGGATGCAGAGAAACGCACAAAATCTTATGAGGAAATAAATCTATACTCATGGATTTCGTAGCAGCATTCAGCGCAGCCTTTTATATATAGACGATTAAATTAATATTTGCGAATATATAGTTATTACATTATTACTTTAGAAGTTCGGTATGCATATAGTCCTCCAATATTATTATCTTCGATGGAACCCAATATAGAACTCATATTGATTATAGCTGCACGATTTATACCCATTTCTATGTTTGCACATCTTTTGGATGCTTTCTTCAATAATGGCAAGCAAGCCTATAAATAAATAAGCATATAAAACTAAACTAAGTAGATATTAACTGGACCTTTAATAATTACCTTAGTCAACAAAATAGGTACAATTGTATTTGTTGTCAATGTATTTCGTAGATCTTCTTCTTTAACTAAACTAATACGTGTTGACTTAGGTGCTATACCAGCATTATTAAATAGTACATTTAGACCGCAGCCTTCAGTTGCTTCATTAATTTCATTAACAACTTGATTGTAATATTCGAAGTTACGCAAATCTATACGAATTTTTATTTAAGTAATATTGGTGCTAAAATATATATATGTATGTATTTTCTAAGACTCACCGACTTCGAAAAGCGTAAGATTTGAATTATTGTCGGCTAATTCCCTCAGTTCCTTAGAAAGAAAAATAAATTAATATATTTAGAATTGTTTTCAAAAACGGATATTTATAAGAGTGTTTTTTTTATTCTTATGAACGGCGTAAAGAAAAAAGAAAGAGAACTCTATTGGGAAAGGCTACCCAGACTTCGACAATCTAAAATGTTTTTAGGAACTTACAACCTAAAATGCTTCGAAGATTGCTTAGCACAATCAAAAAAAAATAACCTAAGAATTATTATGGTATTATTGAGCGGTCACTGTAGATTGAATAATCACAAATCAAAGTTAGCAATTCAATCCAACTCACACTGCAGATACTGTAGAGAAGAGAGAGAAACTATCACGTATCACATACTAGAGGAGTGCCCGGCACTGATGCACAAGCAGAAGAAACACCTAGGAGGGTATTTTATGGATCATAAGGATTCAAGACTAGGAAAAATAGACTCTATACTGTCTTTCATTAAAGAAATCGGACTTGGAGAAACAATCTAATCCTACTAAGGGGTACAATAGATCTTTTAGGTCGCATTGCTCAATCCCTTCTTTTAATAATAAGAGTGCTTTTACTTAAATGGAAAACTCGTGTCTGTTCTTTTTGATGTTGTCTATGCGTAGACCGTTTTGGTCTTAATACCTGCTGGGATGGCCTTCTTAGTCTGGTGTATTAAGAAAGTTTTAACTGCACGAAAAATGTATTCTATATATTTCAGGTCGAGAAAAATTTTGAGAAGTTTTTTGCGATCTTAACATGGTCTTGAAGAAGACAATATTTTGATATGGAGAGCTGTTAGTCCTCGTTTTTACTCGACCCCACTGATGTTGTAGGGCTTGATGTTGTAGCTGTTAGTCCTCGTTTTTACTCGACCCCACTGATGTTGTAGGGCTTGATCAACGTATGCAAATTGAACAGGAAGAGAGCTGTACAGAGCTCTCGTGGTGCTATAGGGACTACTCTGTGACACATTCAAGATTATGCTTACCCTACTGCTGATTATGTTATAGAGATGGTTAATATGCGATGACAGCAAGTTAAAAATTGTAGTGCTGAATTTGGACACATTTTTGATATTACTCCTTTGAGCAATGTACAGCAGTACATAGAGACATTGGCTGTAATAAGACTACTTATTGTTTAATATAAATTGCGGAATTTTTTTATTCTAACCCAAAAAGAGCATACATATAATGACTTTTAGCACTTTGTCACGAAATTTCAGTCGACATTAGGACGCAGTAGCATAGATGAAATATATTAATACGGCACCCAGGATTTTATGCTTGGAAATATTTAGACTTCATAAATATTTTTAAATAAATTTTAAATTAATTAATTTAAGCGTTAAACAATTCATATTACTGTATTTAAATATTAGTTAATTATGGAATATTAAAGTTTTATTTACTGTTGTGAATTATTGTAGTTAGATACACCAACTTATATGAAATATTTCGTATGTGTAAGTTTATTTTTCATATTTATTTATTTATTTAGTTATTGTTAAATCTTTTTATAAATAATTCAAAAGAGTTTTATTGTATATACATTTTTTTATTATTATTATTATATTGTATATTTTTAAATGAAAGCAATTATAAAAAAAATTAATATTATGGCCGTGTGCGAGTTCGAATAAATTGATGGTAAATTGAGCGAAATAGTAAATTATGTCGGTATGGCACCGAATGTTGGTATTTACCAGAATTTCGAATAGGGTAAATTAGGTATTACCATTGTGAAAATTTTATAAGATATTTAATAAATAAATTTGAAATTTTTAACCAAAAATAGTAAGTAAGTGCAATAAATAAATATTTACATAAGTGGAGTGCAAAAAATCTCTAAGAAATTTCAATTTACTTTACCTCAATCTACTCGAACTCGCACACGGCCTATATGTACATATGTATATAACTATATATAATTTTGATTTGTAGTTATGTAAATAGTTTAATCGTTCATAAATAAATGGTTAATTGTAATACAAGTTAATTTTTATAAAACTTTACATTTAATGTAAAGATGGTATTTTTATTTAAGTAAAAGCAATAGATCAAGAATACAAGAAAGGTATGTTTTGATTATTAATTGAAAGTCTAAAATTATTTTATTAAATCTATTGTGAATGAAAATAAACTTTATTTTCGTATTGTTTTTCGCTCATCGTGGTGAAAACGAAAACTTCAAAAGAAGACTAGCGAAAATTTGTCATATAAATTAAAAAAAGAAAAAGCAATTGAGCTAACCGTTTTAAAGTATTCTCGTCAACGTCTTCGTTGCGGTAACAGTGTATTATAACTACGTTAAAAACTATTTATTAAAATTTAGCTTGATAAAATTATTTGTTTGATATTTTTTCTAATTTTGCAAATAACTTTCGAAGACGAACAAAAAATGCCACCAGTAACACGTAAGTTAAATAAAAAAATTCTTGTATAAAAAGAAAAGTAGACTTACCGTAGCTTTTGCTAAGTCGCGGCAAGTTGCAAATATGTGCTTTGGTGCGTTGTTTAATTTTATTAATTCTTTCACTAAACCTAATCCAAGTCCACGATTACAACCAGTAATTAATATTGAGTTCATGTTGCAGCAGGAGCAATTTAATATGTATTATTTTAAGTTTATACGTCGAAACAATCTAATCGTCAAAAATTGAAAAAAATGTAGAAAAGCTCTATAAGTGTTTTAAATAATATTATCATACTTTTATTAGTTTTCGAAATTTTCGAACTTTGAGCAGCCCTTATCCAATCACGTTCCGTTTTAAATGAGATATAAAAGATTAATGAGAAATTTTGAAGCGCTTGAATTGTTTTATTATGTTTATTAATATATATTAAATTATTTTTAAAGCATGATAAAACATTTAATAATATTTAATACTCTAATTAAATAAATTATATTTAGCACGAAGTGCGTATAAAGCTAAAATATATGAAAGTAAGAAGTAGCGGCTACCGGTAGTCGCCTCCTCCATGCTTCGCATTTCATTCGTGTTTGCATTTAACTGTGAATGGCCGATGTTTTAATGTTTTCATTTCAATTGACAAAAGAATTGTGATCAACTCGTTTAGTGTTTTTGACAAACATATTTTACATTTATCAAAAAGTTTTAAAACATTTTGAAGTAATGTCATATTTTTTGTGTTGGAACTCCAAAGTTGCTTTAAAGGTAGTGAATTCTGTGACGTCTATGGGAGCAGCGAACACTAACAGATTTTGGAGCAGATATATGAGTGGAAGAGCAAAAAAATTAGTTCGTAAGTGTGAAAATGTACATTAATAGCATCAAATCATATGAGGAAGTGTATTTAGATTGTTTACTGTGTAATTGATTGTGTTATATCAATTTTAATTTCACAATTTGCAAAGCATTCGATACATTGATAACAAGTTCCAATATTTATGGCCTTTATTATTCACGATATGTATGTAACTTACTTTAATTATGTAATAAGCAAGATTTAGTGAATTTTTCAATTTGTTTTATTTAAAATACAGTTTATAATATTTGCTGAATCATTTGTCTGCTGGCCGCGAATGTACATTTCTAACCATATTTACTATGTTGAATACGATTACATATTTATAAATTATTTCACCACGCCGTTGACGTTTCCAATAAGAATTTTATTTTGTTTAATCCGAAAAAAAAAACTTATAAAAAGTGGTCAGACTAGAAAAATGCCGCATATATTTTTTATTCTCATGTTTCTTTTGTCTTTTTCTTTCGTGTTGCTATTGTTGCATTTACTGAACGCATCTGTTGCTTCCACTTTCTTATATCTTACTACGTGCTTTTAGCTGAACATCAAGTTTTTGCAAAAATATTTGCTACAAAATTGAAATACTCGTTTCTTTCTTCTGTTTATTGTGTCATCACAATTATTTAAAAATAATTATAATTTTTAAAGTATTTATAAACAATTTGAATAATTTTTGAAACCATTTGTTGGTTATTATATAAAATTGTTGTATCGCACATTTTTGTTAATTATAGTAATTTGATGGGTGCAAAATTTTCATAAGATTTATGTATCATCATATAAATAAATATAGTTCTCTGTTGTTAACTCTCTGTAAATAAATAGTTTTTAACAAGGTAATTGTAAATGTTATCAGTTCCCTTTTAAGATTGTACAAATGATTATATTAATGACTGAGAACCATAAAGTATTTTTTTATTTCAACTTTTCAATGAAAGATAAACTTAACCATGCGGTTGACATTAGCGAAAGTCTGTTAAAATTCTGCCTGCTAACTAGATTAACCGTAAAATAATTTATATTAAGATGTATACAATCAGAGATCTTCAGCAAGGACTTCAATGTGTCCATTGCAGTTGGATATGCATTACATCCTTGCTTTTAGGTACAAACATTCACTCGTTAGTAATTCATTCGCTGGTTTGCTTTTCACAAATAGCAACTTTCTGCTTTGCCTTGACAGGTTTGGTACAAAAGTGACATGGAGAAAATTAATGTTTAGTTTACAAATTGTTTCAACATAGAAATTTATTTATATTTTTATGTACTTAAATTTACTTAATTGATATTTACCAGTACGTTCATTATCATGTGTACCTTTACCCAGTGATATCAAATATCAGAACGCGCCCTTTGCCTATGTGGTTTTCAACACCTTTTGTGGCGGGACTATTATAGTTAGGGAATCTGGCACTGTGGTCGTCGGGTCTATTGTGCCCCCTTCTAGCTTTAGAGTAATTATATAAGTCCTTTTGCGTCAATAAAAAGTAGTATAAGTATAATATACTTTACAGAGTTTTATTGCCTCTTCCGTAAGAATATACATTTTTGGGAGCCTATTTCGCAGTGCATGCTAAGAGTACATATGTGGTTGACTCCTCATTCTCTTCACGGAAGTTACAGTTTGCATCCGTATATGTACCCAGTCTCGTAAGGTGGTATTTTGGTTTACAGTGCCCTGCTAGGATTTGTGTGATGATTCTGAGTTTTTCTATTGATAGCTTTGATAGGTGGCGGGACTAATATGTATATTAAAAATTATAATCATATATACCTAATATATATAGTTGAGTAATTACAGTGTCTTCTAAGAATATGAAAATCCGCCAACAATCATTTCAAAATATTATTTAATGCAATTAGAATAAATTAATTGAGTCTCGTTGAACTTATTAATTGACTTAGCACTTGCCGAGGCTAATTTATCTGTGCAATAGGTAGAACGTGGTGTCAGCATTTCTCGTTATATTTATTTATTAAAAATTTAAAAAAATAGTTCTTGAAACATCGTACTACCAGTGGTGACAGCTCAATAATATCAATATACTATAATTAAAACAACCCAACAAAATACTTTTTTTTTTTAGAAAGTTAATTACCTTGTTTGTGAATATAGTTGTAAATATAGTTGAGTTGATGTCTGTATGGTAGATAATGGAGAGAAACTACAATTTAAGCATAAAATCTTAGATTGTGTGAGATTTTTTTATGTTTTGTTTATAATTACATTTTTCTGATCCTTAATAATATGTTTTTACTTTTTATTTTGTAACACAATACAAAATAATTTAAAATAAAATTGCTATATATTTAAAAGTAACTCATAAACTAAAGGGACTACTAAGCATTCACAGATTTAGTTCGATTGTGAAGCTTATTTAAGATTGGCCCGAGTCAAAGTATAAACAATTTTAACAACCCTCGGCCGTAGACCATGGCCAACAAGCCTTGGCAGCGTCTCATAAAGCTCGTGTGTACCAAAAATGGTTAAAAAATCATGTTGCACATTTCATTTCATTCACACCGATGGCTTACGAATCTGCCAGATGCAAAACAGATGGACTATTCCATCTAGGCCATTTTAGAGAGCAAGGTGAAGACTAAAAAAGTCAGTATTTATGCGCTGAAGAAAGCCATTGTTCGGGAATGGGTAAAAATATCGAAAGACCTCATTCGTCAAAAGGTGACCTCATTCGAGCTAGTGTGAATGGATTCTGAAATTTTGATTATTTCCACAAATGTTGGTAAATGCCCGCAGATTCTATATAAAAATTGTTATTATTTCATCAATTATTTTAACCTCCATTCAATTTTTACCAAAATGAATCATTTCTTCCATAATAATGAAAGTCGAAGGTCCAGCTATGGCTGCCAAGAAATAAAGATATTTAGTATACTAATTAAATTTTGTTATCCTTTATAGTAATTATTCAAGGTACTTTTTACGAAGTTTATGTTGTATTTATTTTGTGAATTAACATATTGTATACACAGTACCTCCTAATAGCTTTGATGAACTCATAGTTAAGAGTTTTTTTCTTATTATATTAATTAAATCATTCGACAGTTGTATTTTATTTCTATGTTGATCCATATGGTTTAAAATTTTATTGTTTTACGTTGCCATAGAAAATCCAACAAATGGCCATAACACTAGGATAGCAACATATGTTATAGTTGTGTGTGAATAGCTGTAATAACAATTCGCAATTAGAAGCACTTCGTACTCTATGTGCTCGTAGAGATAGATTTGTTTAATTAGATATCCTTTCTTATCGCAAACAAAACAAGCCCTCAAAACGTACTTAACACGTGTGCTTGCTCTACTATATCTTGTGCTTGTGTTTAATTTTTATAATTAATAAAGCAAATGTTAGAGTGACAATCAGTAAAGCCACAACCATAAATTAAGTAAATATCAATAAAGAAAATAGTCGGGTCTAACTGACTTGACTGACTATCCGTAAATCAAAAATCTAAGGCACGCAGTGAACTATTTCAAATATACGAGCAAATAAATGTGATTAAATTGCAAATATCTGCGATATCATGTTTAATTCATATTATTATTTTATTATTCCAATTGCAGCAAGACATGCTTTCCTTTCCCTTCGCCCACTTGGGTTGACTTCAGTGTACTTGCTCCATTAAAATCAATATTTGCAATAGCTTTTTATGATTCTTCAGAGGATTCGTAATTGGTGGCATAGAAAATTAAAGAACTCATTCGTGTATAAACTGCAGTACGTTGAACATAGAGTAAATTTGCTTTTGTGTAGTAAGTCAAGTTTCTTGGTGAATTTTTGAGTACGTATGCGTATTTTTGAGATTTTATCTGCTTCTGAGGCAAAATCTTTGCGTGATCATCGACGTTCAATTTATCAATCAGACTATATTGAGATACGTTTGCGGGCAAACTCAGAAGAAATGTCAAGGTCAGAGAATGGAGATGCTGGTATGTTACCGCTTACGTTGTAGTAAAATCTAGAAAATATACCGATACTAAATCTAAATTACAAAGAGAATATTGCCATACAGATATACATATATGTGTAGCGCCGTATACTGTATAACTATTTATATTTTTGTATTTAATTTAGGTTTAATTAGTATAATTTCTAGAAATTTCTGTTTGTGTGAGTAATGCACTCACTAACAGCTATTCTATTTCTATTATTTATATAGTTTTCTTGTTTTTGATTAATTATCTAAACACTTCAATTTGTGCATTTTAGTTGCCTCAATTACTAATTAGTATTAGTTTGATAACAAATTAACTGCCATGTCATTTGTTTCAACTTCATTATCTGCAAAATAAACATGCAAACACTGTGGACTTTTATTAAATGCAATATTATGTATTTTAATATTTCTAGAGAAAAACAAACAAAACAAAACAATGACGCAGCTAATTGTAGACGTACTGTGACGTCATTTATTACTTGACAATTTTTTTTTATACATTCCATGTCCATTATTAAATTTGTTTTTGTTTATTAAACTTAATTAATTTTCTGTCGTAGTAAAATTGTCTACATGCCAACTAATAATTTGCAGGTTACTTCTGAAGTCACACATGCCAATTATATTAAATCGAATTTATATGATAAATATCTTTATTTCTTTATATGTATAATAAAAAACTACTATATTTTGTTTAAATTATTTTACAAGACACAATATATAAGGCAATTGGTATTGCTTTACTACAGCGAAGAATTGTGCATATCACCGGATGCTATGGAAGGAATAGTCTATTATGTACAGCATTGAATCATACAAGGTACATTTACTTGTAACTATGCAGTACACTTGAGAGAAAACTTCGGAAAACCCAAAGTTATTAATCAGTTTCAATGAAAAAAATTATAGATAATCGTTTAGGTTATTCAAAAGCAGGTCGCACGCTGCGTGCGGGTCGAATTTATGACACACAAGATCTGGGTTCAAATCCCACTAAGGTCTAAACACGTTTTATAAAAAATCTTTAAAGAAATTCTTTAATTGCTACTACAAAATCTGGAGAGGTGAGGTAAATTTATCTGGCATCGTTAGGAACCAACAAGTCTATGCGTAGCTTATGGCCAGATAGATAAAACCTTCCGTTCTTTCATAAACTTTCTTTCTTTCTAACCTGGTTTTAAATGGTATTAACCTTAAGTTATTCAAAAATATTTCCCATTTGCTGTGGAGAATCGTACAATAAGATGCACCTATTTTTTTATTTATTTTTTATTATTTTTTTTTCAATAATTCTCGATATTACTCTTGCAAACCATTAAGCGCTACTTATAGCCTATCTATTTGTGATTCATTCATGAGATCTATTATAGAATCAACGTTGTTTTTCGGATCTATTAAATTTATTATAAATCTATTCGTTTGATTGCAATTTATAGAAATTTCATGTTTCTTCACATTTAAATCAATATTGATTTCGGTTTTATTAAAAATTGGTAATCTCATTCTGAAATCTATTTTTATTGAATTTATCTTAATGTTTTAACGACTGGAAATTATTTAATTCTATAACATTTAACGTATTTATCTTAAACGCACTATAATATTCTGTATTACTAAAGATATTGCAGCTTATTTATTAGAATAAAATCTATCAGTTATTCAATAAAATTTTTTTGTTATTATTTTTTTTTGTTGTTGATTGAATATTTAATTAAAAATAGTTTTATGAATCATCATCAAACCTGTTTTTTTTTTTAAATAAATTTAGAAACAAAAGTAATAATTTTACAATAGAGTTAACAAAAGTTTTCATTTTCTCACTGCAAATGAAAAGATCTTTCGAACTTATATATTTGATTTTAATAGGACTAATTAATTAAATAATAACATTTAATTATTTATTAATAATTCATAAAATTTCTGTTAATTTATCTAATTGTATGAGTTTGTATATATATTTATAAATTTTTTTAGTTTATAAAATATACATAAACAATAATTGAGTAATTATTAATAACATTTACCTGATCTTTTTATTTTGGTTTACAGATCAATACGAATATGATTTAATTGTGCTCGGAGGCGGTTCAGGCGGTTTAGCATGTGCTAAAGAGGCTGTAGTTAATGGTGCAAAAGTGGCATGCCTGGATTATGTTATACCAACTCCAATCGGCACAAAATGGGGTATTGGTGGTACTTGCGTTAATGTTGGCTGCATACCAAAAAAATTAATGCATCAAGCAGCGTTACTTGGTGAATCTATACATGTAAGTTATATTATTTTAAATATATTGAAATTGATTTATTTATAATATATTACTCCCTTGTAGGAAGCCGAATCTTACGGTTGGGAAATTCCAGATTCACAGAAAATCAAACCAGATTGGGGTAAATTAGTGCAATCAGTACAAAACCACATTAAATCTGTTAACTGGGTGACTAGAGTCGACTTAAGAGATAAGTAAGTCATTTATTTTTCAAATGTTAATTATAAAAAAGATAAATAATATATAATTTTGAATTTGTAATTAGGAACGTCGAATATGTTAATGGATTAGGCTCTTTCGTGGACCCACATACAATTTCAGCAAAACTTAAAAATGGTAGCGAACGCTTATTAACAGGACAGAATATAGTAATTGCTGTCGGAGGTCGTCCACGTTATCCTGAAATCCCCGGCGCTGATCTTGGCATTACAAGTGATGATCTGTTTAGTTTAGATCACGCACCAGGCAAAACACTTGTTGTTGGAGCAGGCTGTAAGATGATAATTATATTAAGAAATATAAAATATAAAACGAATAAAAATTTATTTCGTTGTAGATATTGGTTTGGAATGTGCAGGATTTCTAAATGGACTTGGTTATGACGCGACTGTTATGGTGCGATCAATTGTCTTACGTGGTTTTGATCAACAAATGGCAAATATAGTCGCTGATGCTATGGTAGAACGTGGTATTAAATTTCTACACAAAACTATTCCGAAAGTTGTTTGTAGAAATGGAAACGGCCGCTATCTAGTAAAATATTATAACACCGAAACTGATGTTGAATCATCTGATGAATTCGACACTGTTTTATGGGCAATTGGGCGTAAAGGTTTAGTTAATGAACTTAATCTTTCTAACGTTAATGTAGAAACAAAAGCAGATAAAATTATTGTAAACAATGCTGAAGAAACAAACGTGCCTAATATTTATGCAGTTGGAGATATTATTCATGGTAGACCAGAATTGACACCAGTCGCTATACACGCTGGTCGTTTATTAGCGCGACGTATATTCGCTGGTTCAACACAAATAATGGATTATACAGATGTTGCAACAACTGTTTTCTCGCCATTGGAATATGCTTGTGTTGGCATGGCTGAAGAAGATGCTATTAGGCAACATGGTGAAGATAATATTGAAGTATTCCATGGATTTTACAAGCCAACAGAATTTTTCGTACCACAAAAGAGTGTACGTTATTGTTATCTGAAAGCTGTTGCTCTACGTAGCGATGATCAAAAGGTTCTTGGATTACATTATATTGGACCTGTAGCAGGTGAAGTAATACAAGGATTTGCAGCGGCTGTTAAGTAAGTTATTACAAAATTATTTTAATTATATTTTTAATTGATATATGTATTTTATTCAATATTCTAGATCTGGTCTAACCATGAAAATTCTCTTAAATACTGTTGGTATACATCCAACTACTGCTGAAGAATTCACTAGACTTTCCATAACTAAACGTTCAGGATTGGATCCCACACCAGCCACTTGCTGCAGTTAAACTTTTAAAACTTTTTAATTTATTGTAATCATTCAAATACTTAAACATCCGCGCTCAGTAAAAACAAAATTCAAACACCAACTTGTTAAACTATGAATAATTGATTTATGCTTATTGTATTCTTACTCACATAAATTTCATACAAATTCAATGAATATGAGTTTTTTAAACTCTTGAACTATAAGAAGATGCATAGCATTTTAATTATTAATGTTTGATGAAAAATATAATTTTTCAATATTACACCAATCATAAATTAAAATACAAAATTTGTAATCGTACTAAAACACAAAAGAATTTATAAATAATAACTAAAGTTGCTGTTTTAATAAAATTTAAATAGAAACGAAGTAATATTTTTATGTATTAACGGGAGTCGTATATAAGTTAATTGTTTAATGATAGTTCTCGTGGGGGGAACTATCACCTCCAAATAGCGTATCTGATTAACTCAAAATTAGTTTAGGAACGCTTTGAACATTTTCGAACCTTATCTGAAAGGAAGTCTGCGATAATTTCCATACCGAGATATCAAGGCGAAAAAAAAACAAACTTTTTATCCAAAAAAAACCCCTTCAGAAAACCCCTTCATTGGATCAAAATCTCTCTGTAGTGGTACACAATAGGATTAAAAATAGAATTCACAACTGACATTGGACATAGTAGACTCAATTACCACTTAAAGAAGTTAAGACTGCTCAAGCAGCAAGCAATCAAGCATGCGGTTTTTTAATTTCTCGCTACGGTTAAATGCCGAATAAATAATTTGAAAGATTGGACTTTACTTTAGAACTAGATATTCTATATAAAATTAATTCCACAGCAGTGCACAGATTTATAAATAGTATAGGATTGCTATAGTTGGCAAGAAGGGATTGCACAAATATTTTATCGCTTGCGGTGCACTCACAATATTTTCATAACTAAGATTAATACGTAGGAATACAAAAAAAAACATTACTTTATTGCACAATAGTTTTTATTTGAAATAATTATTTATTTCTAAATGCTTTAATTATACTTTTAATTCCTTATATCAGGTAAATAAAAATTAAATCATTTTTCTTTCCTTTGGTTTAAATAAACATATCAATGTAATCGTCCTCTAAATCATCAACTTTTGAATCCTTAGTTGCTGATTTTTCATTTTTTAATTTATTATCTTGTATTAAAGAGTTTTTTAGAATTAACATTATTTGAGTAGATGCCTCTTCGCAAATGGTGGTGTTCTTGATTTTTTTCATATAATACGAGACTTCTCCTCCTACCCAGTTAAGTCGGTTATGACTCTTTAAGGTCACATTTTTTTTCAAATTTCTAACTTGTGTTGGTAAATTATCAGTTGCATCAGTTTGATCCTTTAAATTTTTAAATTTATGTATTATTAAATAATATAAAATAATTAATATTTTTCATAACAATTAACAATAATTTTAGCCCAGCTCATGCACGGCGGTGACTCAACACTTTAGGAACCCCCTTTCTTAAGGATTTTGAACAATTACAGAAACTCCCATTAAACAACATTCTAAGCTGTGCCGAGGGTACTAGGTAGTTTTAAACCCTAACATTCCTCTATATACGGTAGCACAATGGGCCAATAAGCCTAAGTGGATCCCCTAGGGAACACCGGTATAACTTAATGTAGCCTAACAATAATTTTAATTAAAACAAAGATAATGAAATGTTTACAACAATATCTTATACGGTATTTTTCGCCTAAGTTAGCATTTATGCACTCTATTAAATTTAAATTTAATTTAAACTAAATATTAGAGGCTCAATAATGATCATAATATCTGGGCCCCTATTAGGAACTCTAACTGTCTGAAATCCGCTTTTGCAAAAAACTCTAACTACAAATATCTTTTCATTTATAATAACATGGAAACTAACCAACTAATTTTGATGAGTTTTTATATTAATATATATATATATATATATTAATATTATATTATTGAACGATAGAGGAAGGTTGAATGCTATTTTTGAATCTGTTATGTGGCATTGATAGGACAAATTATAAAAGCAAAAGTAATTTTTTATAGTTTAAAATAACTTTGTTCAAACTAAAATAATTTAAAATTTCTGTGGAACTTCAAAATATTCCTACAACTTACCTGTTTTCTACCAAAAGTTGGTAACAAATATGAATGATTATCTTTAAAATTTGCATTCACATCAACAAATTCAGTTACTTCATTATTCTAAAAAAAAAATTTTAATTATTTAAATACATTTATTATTGCAAATATATTACATTAGGAGTAGGTTGCTCCACTTCAAGATGTTTTTCCAAAAACAAAAGCTTGTCATAATAAAATAGCTTTGGCTTATATACCGTATCGGACATATCCTTGTACTTCTCAACTAAGCTATATTGTCTTATAAATTTTGATTTCAAAATTGATATTTTTCTTGTAACTTCTTTTTCAGTTATAATAGGCATAAAATATTGTAATTCTTCAGTAATTTGTTGCATTATTTCTCCACATTTCGCAACATTATTATAGTACTTGTGATTGCTATCGTACAGAGCGGGATTCATTTCCCATAATGTAATTAGTTTTAATACATTTTCACGTGTCCAATCTAGTAACTTTTTTTTATCGTTTGAAATGACTTCTTCTGATGAAACCTTTGCACTTTTATCTACTAAATTATCCTTATAAAAAAAATTTGTTTATTTAATTTAACTAAAATTTATTTGTTAAATAACCGTGGATCTTACTTTAATAGCTGCGGTTTCAATTTGAAGATGTTGTTCCAAAAAGGAAAGATCCCAAAAAAACCATAAAGTTGGTTCACATAACTTTCCTGAAGTTCTAATAGATCTTTTTATTTTGTAATATCGAATTAAATATTGTTTTCGTAAATAACGCATTTTTTTTCTTATATCATTTATAGTCAAGGATGGCATATCTTTCTTTAGATTCGCCAAAATTTTTTCAAAAATTCGGCTGCGCTCTTTACGGTTAAAATATAATTTGTGACTGCAGTCATACAAAACAGAATTTTTTTTCCAATATTTAATTAACTGTTTTATATTATCACGAGTCCACATATTCCCACGCATTTTAACAAATCTAGCAAAAAATAATGCACTAGAAAAGTCTATCTGAAGTCTATCGGAAACGAACCAACAAACGAGAATTCAAATGCCACTTAAATATAATTTGAATTTGGCACCACTCAAAAAATAACACGTTATATACCGTAACGAATAATATCCTGTGTCCATTCTCAAGCACAGTTTGAAAGCTGCAATGGCACGAAATACACGAGACATCATGCCTTTTTAATCTTCTATATGAATTAGAAGAAAAATGTTTGATTTTAACTCGTTAAAAGCTTGGTATTAATAAACTTAAATGCTCTGTACTGAGTAATATTCATTTTTTTATAGTTCCTACAGAAAAAAAAATATGTTGAGTTCGTGCTAAAATTCTTAAGTATTTTTACGGTTAATTGTTAAAAAGTGGTAAATCGTTTCGCTTCTCAAAAACATGGTTTTGAGCTCACAGCGAGGCGACACTCTGAACAGGATAATCGAACAGAATTAATAATTCGAATGAAGAATAGAGCACTACATAATACTGAAATGTCGACCCCCTATCGAATACAAATAAAACAGATTTCTAAAAAACTAATGAAAATAAATTTTTGTTATTATCTTTTTTTTACTATTCGAATCATTTTAACTTTTAAAAATAGCTTCTTTGTGGTTTTAAGAAGCGTAGCTTTCAGCAAAAATAATTAACTTTGAAACAGATTTCATTGTATTCTTTTACTTTTAAATAGGTTCTGTTTTCAGAACTTGAAGACTCCTTCATTATAAACAATCGTCACGACAACTATTCACATCTACTTAAACAAGAAAATGAAAATGTTTTCCCATGATTGAAACTTCTTCATTAAAAACAATCGTCACGACAATCATTCAAATATACTTAAATAAAACAAGTGAAAGTAATAATATTGAATTTTTAAAAACAAAGGAAATGTTTTCCCACGGTTGAAACTTATTGGTCTACAAATATTTCTACGCGCTCTCCAACCAGTTTCTTCTGCTTCTGAGCATATTATTGAAGAAAGAATAGCTCGAACGTGGGTATTACATTTTATTTTTTAATAACAAAAGAAAAAGTGTAAAATCAACGTAAAGGTTCAGAAAAGGCGTAGTATGCCTGTGCTTTTTTCTATTAATTTATCGATGAAGTTTATATTTTCTTTCTTTAATTAGCACACAGTACTTATAGGTGAAATAGATTTACAAAGCTGTGAAAACGCAAGACCGTGAATTAAAAAATACTAACGGTCCAAATTCTAGTCTGTAGTGTCTATAGACATGATATCCTTTATTAATAATATTTATTCAACTACCTAGCACAGTTAAAGATTGTGAATCAATTATTTATTTTTAATTTGGTATTAATACTACATTAATAACTCTCAAAATTTATTACCTCATTTATATATAGTTATGAACGGTGCAATGAACCAATTACTCGCTCACCTGAAACTATCTGATTAGCGAACCAAGAAGAAAAAGTGGATCTTTGCTCCTCATTTATATACGTTTTAAATGGTGCGGTGGACCTATCACCTGCTCACCTAAACTTATCTAATTACTAACGAAACTATAAGAACAAAAAGTGGCGCTTTGCTCCTCGTAAGCTCTGAGGGAACTAATATACATACATACGTGTTAAGTAGATATTATATGTAAAATAGTATAATGCTGCAAATTTGTGGTGTTATTTGCAATGTATAATACTCGTTTAGGCAATATTAAAATCTAAATACGTCACTATAATGTCAAGCAAATTTAAGGGTTTTTGAATGATGGAATGACAATGTAAACCATATCACGCAGCAATGAAATTTTACAAATTGTTATCGAAGTTTTGCGATTTATCGAAAATAAATGGAAATCACCTGAGTTAATTCCTTGGCGGTAATTCAATGCAAATATAAATATTATGTCAAAAAGAAGATACAAAAGAGGACGATGCCATTTGTCTTTAAATGAAGAAAAAACATTTATTAAATGTTGGGCTGAAAATGGACATCATCTTCGAAAACAAAGAAGAAATAATCATGTAGTACTGGCAATGTGTGCACAACTTGCATCTATTGGAGTTAAAATATCTGCGACAGAAGCAAGAAATAAAATGCATAATTTAGTACATAAATACCGGTAAAGTATTTTATCAAATTTTAGAATACACAATTGATACTTATTAAGCTTTCATAGAATTGAAGAAGGCAACATGACACGCTCTGGTTCACATTCCGTATGGCCACATTATCATGATATGCACAAACTTCTTAATATAACTGAAAACAACGAAAAACTCAACGAGGAATGGTACAATAAATACTTTTTATTGGGATATTTACTTAAGATACTTTTACAGCACTGAGAGGACAAAATTAGAATCGAAAGGGTGTTCCTCTTTAGAATGGGCAGATTGTTATGATGACAACCGTCATTTAATTAGAACCGAAGGTAGTGGGGAAGAGTTCATTGAAATGCCTATTAAAGCCAAAAAATATAGGTAATTTATGTTAAAAATTATTAACATTAATATTTTACTTATAAAATGTTTGTAGCACTGAGAAAAATATAAAATCACCTTTAAATTCGGTGTCAGAATGTGAAATTAGTAATGACTCCCACCAAATTCGTACGCCATCAGAACGTTACGAAAAAGTGGATATAGATTTTCAATACTGTCTTCTGGATAAACTTGGTGGTATACAAAATGAAATAGCAAAGATGAATAAATTGATGGAAGTAAACGACGCGAAACTATTAAAAATCGAAAAGAAGAAATTAAAACAATTAAAAAAATATGTGCAAGATTCAGCAGAATTTAAACAAGCATTTATAGCTGAATTCAAAAAAAAATCATAGACTGAATTTTAGATCATGTAAACTATTTTAACTTTATTCCATTAGTAATGACTTTTGAGTTTCATTGCTTGGTAAAGAACTGCAACTCATAGATATAAATAAACCTAAATGTAAATAAAATAAAAACTAAACTAATACCGTTAGTTTAAAAAAACTTTAAAAGTTACAAGATATGTTATGTATAAAAACCTTATATGTTCTATCAAATGAAATGGAATATACTTAAATGTTTTATAAAGTACATCGATTGGGTTTTAAGGCGTGTACTAAAATATACATTAATTTTAAATGATTAAATGTTTTATGGTAAGAGAAATTCTTGCATATTTGTTTAAAATGGATTCTTTTAGTAAATTAAAAAATCATATATTTACTTAGCATTTCAAACACGTGAATGCAATATCAATATACAACCAGAGTAGTGAAAACTGAATCATTAATCATTTAAGTGCATATATCACTACGTAAAAAACGACTATACCGTGTTCACTAAAATGAGGTGAATAAGTACAGTTAAAATTTTTCAGTAGAAAAATGAATCAATATTGCGCAGCATTGAAAACAAAGAATACTTAAACTAAGTGGATTATTTTAATTACATTAAATTATGTTTATTTAACTTAAATTAAGATACATATATTAACTAGCCTTCTCTTTAAATAAGTGAAAAAATTATTTATGACATGAAATAATAAATTGATTATCATTAGTTTTTTCATTACTCCACTTCCCATTCTATCAATCCTTCCTCATTAAAATACTCCATATAATCCAACCGTACTTCTTCCGCTTCGTGTACTTCTGGGTCACTAAAGTCATCCATATGTCTCTGTTTGTCATCAGCTTGAATTAAAATGTCTGAATGAATTTCATTTTTATATTCCTCATCAAATTCTAACATAAAATTATGTATAATACACATGGTTAAAGTTATTAATTCAACTGTGTCTGCACGTAGCATTATAACACTTTTTAATAATTTAAATTTGTTCTCTAATAAATGAAATGCGTGATCTGCAACATGTTTTGCTACCGCCAATCTTATATTAAAGACTTGATGTTTTTTAAGAATACTGGCAGCTGGATATGGTTTCAATAAATGCTTATGCAATGGCATTGAGTCACTACCAACAATGACATACGGAACTTTTCGATTATTACCAATGATTCTTTCTCTTGGAAAATAATCATCGGCTTCATGCAGTATTTCTTGAAGTGTACTTTGGGCAAGTGTTTCAACATCACTTTTTTGACCTGTGGCACCGACATCTGTATAAAGGAATTTGTAGTTGGCGTCTACTAAGGCCAATAATTTTACACTATGACGACCAGAAGCTGAGCGATAATAATCTCCATCTCTTCGTAAACCTTTAAAATAAATGTGTTTGGTCTGCAAAACACCCAAACAATTGGGAAAATCACATTTTTTCGAAAAGTCTTCAGCAACTGCTTTCCAATCTCGAATAGTTGAGGGAAACTGAAATGAAATAATATAGAAACTACATTATATAAATTAAATTTCAAATTTTTATTTTCATTTATTGCTTCACTAATACTTCATTTACCTTTAAATATGTGTCTTTTAATTTGTTCCAAAGAGCTTTACAAACTTCAGGTGTTGCTTTTGATATAAATGCTGTTGATAGTTTTATTTTTTCACTTTCATACAAGGATTTAAAAGATTCGCCACTTACAAAGAATTTTAAAATACTGGCAAACTTTTCAGCAGCTGGTATTGCTTCTCTCATGGTGGTATTCTTTTTCTGTACATCGTCACGAATATAATTAAGCAACATTTTAAAGCAAGTTGGATTCATGCCAATCTCTTCACGATCATAATTCGATTCTTTGCGATGCTCAAATGACCTACGCCTTTTTACCCATACGGATCGTTTCTTTTTCGCTGGTAACTTGCATGCAATTTCACAGGAAGTCAACATATCAGTAATAAGTTTTCTTTTTTGTATAGTTCTTGTACCGAATACATCGAGCGCAATATTTGTACACTCTAATAAATCTTTCACAATCTGTTCTTTTTGTACTTCATCCATTTTTCAATTTTATAAATTATATTGTAATATACTTTCAAAGAACCAAAATTTGCGCCCTAAGATGGACTAAACGAACGAGTTGAAATCACCTGCTAAATGTTTTAACACCAAATGTCATAAAGATATTAAAGAAACGCAGGGCTGTTACATGGTTTCATTTTTTGTTAACTATTTATAAATTGTGGTACGATAAAGTGTAATTAATACTGTGGAGTATTCGTATTTTTCTCAGTATACTCTGTAGTTTTTAATTCTTTCACGGAAAAGTTGTAAAAATCAATTGGCAAGTGGCAATTCAATTGACTTTGTTTATTTGTTCTGTTTTATATAAAAGCGAGAAAATATCAAGAAATAGTGGAAAAAGGAATGCGAAATAAAAGTAAACGTTGTTTTATACAATATTTATTTCCATCGATATTTTTTCTGTAAATATTTAAAATTTCAAATTAAATTTAAATTTTGTGCAACACTTAAACAATTAGAATCAAATTAAAAACTAAAAGAATCACAAATTTCACAAAAATACATATAAAAGGCCTGTTCTAGGAGCTACTCCTAAGTAAACTCGAGGAAAATATAAGTAAAGTACAAACTAAGAGCGTAACACAAATAAAGCGCCAGTTTACGCTCTTTACACAAAGTTTCATGGAACAGCTTTATGTAAAAATTTATTTTACTATATTATTACAGACACATCTCACTTGTGTATTCACAGAGTTACTCAAAGTTACTACGAGTAGCTCGTGGAACAGACCTAAACTTTATTCACAAATTAAATTAACAATAGGTACAATTGCTAAACAAAACAAAAAATATCGAATTAAGGTTTGCTGTGCGAACAAGTTTTATAAAATGAATTGAACGACCAAAGTAATTGTTTCTTGTGTTGTGCGAATATGTTACAAATAGAGCAATTGGTTGTGTTAACAAAAAATACGACAAAATTTACGAATTGTTTGAATGTGGTTAAGCCTAATATTCTTATTTAAATACCAACTCTGTGTTCTTGCTCAAAAATTTGTGGTTTGTTGTGATTTTACCATTCGTATAATTACAAGCCATTATGAATTATTGCTTGAATTTATTTAAGATTTGCTTTCCAACTAAGTTAGTTATTTATCAATAATACAAATTCTGCAAACTACCTAATTTTGTTGCAGTAAACACAGGTAAAAATCTGATTTTAAGAGAAAAAACCATTTTAATTACTAATTCCAAGTTTATTTTTGTTAAAAATGTATTTAAAGCAGTTCAATTATCTAACAAATACATAAAACGTAAAAATAATATTTATATCGTTTTTCTTATAATCTACAGGTACGCAATTAATTAAACAGTGTACTGATGTTTTAGTAAATATAATTAACTTCATATCAATTATGTCTGCTGTGTGTATTATGTTTTTTTCTTTTTCCATGGAAAGTATTTAATCTTAAAGGTTACACACTGTATTGATGTGAAGCCCTATTACCTGAGTTTTTACTGTGTATGCATGGTAGGCCAGATTAACTACAATCGCTCTGTATTTAAAATATGTTAATAAAAAATGTTTTATAAAATTTTTGAAAAGTAATTATTTTTGTTTTTAATCATATTGTATTCATTAACATCACTTGAATATATTGCTCACAATTATCTATTAAGCGCATATTATTAAATAAAATATTATTGTTTTACTTTCATGTTTTTTGTCTATTTTCATATAGTAATACAAATATAATTTCCAATTCACACTTTTACGTAAAATTACAATATAAAAATATTTTAACAATCATCAATTTAATCCTCAAAATTTAAATATATACATACAAAATTTATTATTCTCTAAAAAAAGAAATAAAAATTAAAATAAATTAAAAAATATTCCTATAAAACAATGAACACTTACACCAACTCATCTGACTCTAAGAAATATTCACCTAGCGAGTCATCAATGCTAATAGGTGTTTCACATCTTTCTGAACTTTTTGCATCCCAGCTATGCTCTGGTGAAATGTTATAGACTTTCTCTTTTTGTTTTGTTAATTCCTGATCTTTCGTTATAAAATCTTTAAGCGCTAATTGAATTTGACAGGATGTTTCTTCTTGAAGTATTGGATCATTAAGTTTTCGCATATAATAAACGACTTGTTGTCCGACCCACTCAAACTTAGATTTATTAGTTTCACATATGTGGTCTTTTAATTGATCCAAATGGGTTTGTAAATGTTGTGTTTCAATTTGAATCTGAAAAAAATAGATTAATAATGTAAATCATTATTAATGTATATAAAATGTAATTCACAACTTTTTTCACGATAAATAAATAAAAATTTTGCTTTGTTATCTTTGGATTTCGGGTTTATAAATCTATTTGTACTTTGTCTTCTGTTCTAAAGAAATTTGTACCAAATATCCAGTTACACGTGTAGCTAAAAATTAGATATTGTTGTTATATACTGTGTCTTCCACTGACATTTAGTGCACTTGAGCACTTTTACTCTCTACTAATTGCGAGGTTTCTTTAAAATCGTTCCCTATTTCAGTCAAATCAATAGACAAAATTTAGATGTATATGTAAATAAATATGTTTTAAAAACTAACATTTATAAAATAAGATTATAATATATTATGTTTTTATATTTGAAATTTTTAACGTGTAAAAATTTGCGTTAATCTGAATGTAGTTGTATTTATTTTTAATAAAAAAAAACTCACTGCTTTTCTTTTCTCGCTGTAATAAGATTCATGTTCTGACTTAAGTTTGGGTAAATGTTCGGTTGAACTTGCATTAACATCAACAAATTCCGAAAATATGTCTCGATCAATATCATCCTAAAAAAAATATATGTTGTAGTTGAACTTAATTATTGTATTATTGCTTATTCTATCTATATACTGCAATATTGGAATCCGCACTACGAAGATGATATTCTAAAAAAGAAAGCCTTTTAAAATACCACAATCTTGGTACGTAAGGAGTACTTGATTCAGTTCGTATGGATCTTTGAACTAGACGATGTTCTCTAGTATATTGTGTACGTAAATTTTGCATTTTCTTTCGTAAATCTTCCATGTCAAGATAAGGCATTCTTTTTTTGAGTTCCATATTAATTGCACAAAAAGACTTCTCACGCCGATTTCTATTAAGATAATCTTTATGGTTGAGATCATATAAATTTGGATTATTTTTCCACAAATTAATTAATATAGCAAGATTTTCATGTGACCAATAAATTTTATCCATTATTAAATTATTTATATACGTTTTTGTCACGAAAATACGATTTATAAAGCACCTCTTACGATTTCAAATACTACAGAACGGTAATTTAAATAAAAAAATCTATCCAATAAATTCTCCAATTTACAAGTTGCAATTTCGAGTCAAGATTTTATTCAGGAATAAAGATGTTTATACGTTGCGCATTGCGAAAGACTTTTGACATTTCTGAAAGAAAATGTGCAGCATTTTAAATCGTCATACATGAGTGACAATCGAATTTGTCAAATTAACTTTTTCTCCAGAACAGTAATATTCTTATATGTACATGCCATATTATTTATATTTTTACTGTATTGTTAGTGTTTTTAATTTTTTGTAGTATTTACTATATTTAAATTGTAAAATGTAAAATAATTATTATTAAGAAATTATTTTACGACGAATAGTACAATGTTACATGTATGTACAGTACGTTTACATTATCGAAATTAACTTTGATTTAATAAAAGTATATAATAATTAAATAAAAATGTGCTAATAAGATGAGATAATTAAAACAAAGTATAAAATAATATTATATACTGTGTCGAATGCAAAATCATTATTACAAAACAATCATTTATAATTAAATTTTTGCTTGTAGGTTTTCTACAAATTTTTTATTAGCAAGTATATGATATAATTCATTAATAAATAATTTCGCAAATAATTTTAAACTGTCGTTTTACAATATTTCCTTCATTTAGCACAAAAAATGAAAGACCTATTTTCATGTAATCGATGATGACGTAGGATGTGCTAATAGGTTTTAATATCTTCCCGAGTCCGTAAAAACGTACAACAAATCAAAGCTATATACTAGAAAACACTTTTATGGAGATTAATTTACAATTTATTTAATTAATTGTAATAAGTTTAAGCAACAGTTTCATTTATATATACATCGACTTATATACGTAATAAGAAGTATTCTTTTTGTTATTTCCTAGACATAATATATATATATAAAACCAGAATCAACTTTTTTATGTTTTTTTCATAGTTAATAAGTTTCTTCAGTATTTCTAAAGTTTTCTCAAAATTTATATGTTAACATTAGTACTAATATATAAAATAACATATCAGAATTGTATAGTTTTTTTCTAACTGCACGTTATATTGTCTAACCCCAACCCTTCTTTTCTTCTATGCGTACTCCACTGTCAACTAGGATATTCCGCATAGTTTGCTTTATAATCGGTAAAGTGCTAAGTTGACATATATGTGAACGTTTCTGTTTATATTCTTATGGGTAAAGTTGCAAGACTGTATAATTAAAATTTAAATTTAAATAGAACTTACTTTTTTATATAATTTTTTGTTTCTATCAATATTTATTATTCTATTTTTTTTTAATTATGAAATTAAATCAGTTGATTTTTAACCGAATGCCAAAAATGTTAACACACGTAAATTTTTGGTAATTCGTTGTAGTTATAATTTCACAATAACACATAGATACATTAAATTTTATCAAGTTATAGAGTACGTTTAATTATTCTATATAAATTTTAATATAAATTCGTCAGAGATTTCATTTGTCAGTGCTAAAAATTGCTCGTGTATGTTGTATATAACTACAAACACGCATAGTGTAACATCCATATAAATAGTAGTGTTGTCAAAACGTAGTAACTTTTGACAGCTCGCACATAAAATGCTGGAGTGGTTAAAGATGTCTCATGTTGTTAGAAGTTAATATGAAATAATTTGTTTATCAACAAAAGTGTATGTAGTTAATTCTTATTCTATTTCGAATCGAATTACATTATGGTTGATCACAATATAATAATGCAAAGGTAAAAATAGAAAATTAAATTACATTACACAATATTAAATTACTTTGATTTAAATTGTAAATTACAATACAAACAAATGCCTGTGATGAATTGTGGGTTTAATAATCAAATAAATACACAGCTATTAGTATAACAACCGAAATTTATTTAAAGATGTAAAATCAGTATTATTATTCTTACGGTATACTTGAACATAAGAACATTGGGACTTACATAGTCTTAGGTGTCGTAGTATCAATGTGGAGTTTTGCTCTTTTCTTTAACAATCTATAATAAAGCATTTACCTTCAATTACAAACCATATTTATAAAGTCAAAAAAGTGTTCAAATCTCTTAATTTGTCAAAGTGAAAATTTCAAGCACTTTGTGTCCATTGAGCCCAACAGTGACACAGTATATTTTTATCCTGAAGTTTTTATTCGGGTCACTCAATTCAGTTTCATGCATTCTTATGAAGCAAAGAGCTGTAACGCCAGACATAAATATAGTGACACTATCCTTTGAAAAACTTAATATGAGAAATCCCATAACTCTAACAGGTTGTTTTAACAGCCAGTTCCTTGTTGCTGTTAACTCTGTTATGTTATACCAAATAGTATTTTGTGTTATAACCAATACCAATATTCTATTAATAATCTAGTAATTTTCTTGAGTATTTTGTTTTTATTATTTTAGAAATAAGCCACTAAACAGTGTCCAAAAACAAATACTTTTTAAAAATGTTGAGGCAAATCCAGATGCAGCTGATAGCATTAATAAAAGTGAACATCATAAGCAATTTTGGGAACGACTTGCAAAAGAATTAAATAATGTTGGTCCGCCTATAAAGGCAATTAGTGAATGGCGTAAGGTAAAGCAATTAAAATACATATACTATATTAAAATAATAAAATAATTTTAAATAAATAAAACTCCTATTTTTTAGGCTTGGAGAGATCAAAAACGTTACATGAGTCGTAGAGCTACTACTCACCAAAAGTTATTTGAAGATGGATGTATATTATCATCAGATGAAAACACTTCAGTTAATTTTTTTGATGTGGGAGTAGAAAATTCAGATGAAGAATGTATGCCACATTATAATAACATAGATCTCGCAGCACAAAATGAATTAAGCGAAGAGCAATACACTAAATCCATTAACAATCACACACATTTTGAACCCAAAATAGACTTAACGAATGAGGACTCAAATTCCAGCAATTATGAAGAAACGGAACAACCAGTTCAGAATAATACAGAAAAAGAAGATAACATCCCACAATATTCACTGGAAAATTTAAATACTTTACATAATGAAGTGCTTAGTAATACAAACAGCATTAAAAATTCCTTAGATCGAATGTTCGAAGAGATGCAAAGACATAATTTGGAAATGGAAAATTTAAAAAAAATTGAAATTGAATTTAAAATGAAAAAGTTCCAGAAAATAGTGGAATTACAGGAAAGGAAATTGCAAAGATCGAAGAAAAATAATTAAAACTTACAATAATATATTGTATACACAATATAAAAAAAATATTGATATATACATTATATCATACATAAAATGATCTGTTAAGTTTGGATGCTATACTAATGTGAATAATATTTAAAAAGTTTATAGATTAAGTTAAACTTAAATGGATGCACAATTTTTTATTTGAAATTTATTCAAATTAGAATTAAACTATTATATTACAATTTTAAATTCACTACCATATATACATTTAAAGAAACATTACCCATAACTTTCGTGCAACGCGCATAGTCTAATGCGTTAGTTTGGGTAAAAATCCATTCGACGTTTTCTTGTTTGCTATGGTTCGTTATGCTTGAAAAATAACACAATAATTGGTTATTGCATATGAAGCACAGGTTTCTGAAAAGATTTGTTATATTATTATTTTTATTACATTACACAGATTATTAAACCAATAGGTGTTTTCAAAGACCAGAAGTATAATCTTCATTATCATCCCCATTTTCGAACATTTTTTCGAAATGAAAAATAAAAATTATTTTAGATTGATTGCAAAACGTTGAAAACTTTTTGCCCAACTCATTATTAGCATCTATTGATTTTATTGTAAAAATTAATTATATAAATTATGTAGTATCTGAAAAATCATATTTTTATATTATATTTTTTTAAAACATTCGCAAATAACATTCCACACATTATAAATGAATAAAATTTAAGTGAACAAAAATAAAATGTTCTGTGAAAGGAAGCATATGTATATATATGTACGTAGAACGTAAACGTGATAACATTCATTCAGACATTTTTACAACTTTATCTTTTCAATCTTTGATAAAGTCTTAACGTTGTATCTGCAAAAACTTTTAATTATAAGCTTCAATAATTCAATTAATTTAAACAATATAAAAAAAAACAACTTTTGTTGTTGTAGTTCACTACTTTTTGAAGCCTCTCAATACAAATTTTGTGAAAAAAAATTATGACTTCCAACTTACTATAACTTGAACTATAAGTCGCATTTCTTTCTAAAAGTTACTCATTTTTTTAATACGCTCATTTTTAAAATAACACGTAATAAGAAAAACAACGAATTACATTTTTTAAACAATTTTATTCTTTTTTTTTAAATTTAATTGTTTTTTTTTTAATTTTGTTATTTTTTACACATTTATATAATATATATATTTTCTTTGTAGTTATATTGTATTTAATTACTTTTAAGTTTTTATTATTACATTAAAATTACGTTAAAATTAAAATTAACTTAATATACTACTAAGGTTTTCTTTCAATTATTTATAACTTTTCGAACATTATTTAAAATGTCTTAATATATTTTTTTTTGCATTTTTCCCGATTTTGTTCATTTAGTTCATATATATTAAGAAATATATTTGTTAGAAAAAATAATTGGTTTTTATATCAAGTATAAAATATATATTATATATATATATATATGTATATAGATTTTGAATTTATATCGAAAATGATTTTTACAATTTAAATAAACAAAACAATATTTTATTTTTTATAAATAATTGTAAGATAAACATTTTTGTAAACTAGAATTTTTTTATTATTAAACAAACAGCAAACCTAATTAATGTAATTTATAAATTTGAAATAAATTTTTTAAAAATATTTTTAAAACGCCTTAATTAAAACTTAATATATAAATAAACAACTATATTAAAGATACTTCTTAAAACATAGCAGAGTAAAAAATTAGTACTAATTTTAAAACAATATACAATTTTACAAAAACTTATTAAAACTTACAATATAATTGTCAGTAGTTATATAAATAAATAAAAACTAAAAACAGATCAATTCTTCAAAAGATGTAACAAAAAAGAATATTTATATTAAAATATATTAACAATCTTTACTCTGCATTTATAATACAATTTTGTTTTACATTTTGTTAATTTTGGTACGAAAGTAAATTTACAATTTAGAAAATTTCATTTTTTAAAAATTAAAATTTAATAAAATTAATATAAAAATTAAGTTAATATGTTAAAAAAAAAAGGAAGAGTAGATAGATAGATACATGAGTTTTACATAAATTAAATATATATATATATATATTTTTAATATAAAATAAATTAAAAGTGTTTACATGATGCATTTTTTTTTTAAATATTTACATAATTGCTGCAAAAATTATTTTTTCATTATCATATGAAATACTTGCAACAACAATTAATTTTATGAAAAAATTTTGGCTAATACTTTTTTTCTTTAATAAAATGCTCCAAAATATAAGACATCTAGTATTTATTTATTCATTTATTTTTTTTTCTTTTTTTTGTTTTTTTTTTGTCTAACCATAAAGTTAGTATACATTTACCAAATCAACTGTTTTTTTTTCACATAAATATGCATATATATTTTGTTCATATTAAAAAGGTTAACTTTTATAGTCTTTTATTATGTTTTTAAACATTTATATTTATAAAATAATTATTGTTTGAAACAGATTTGTGTAAAATTGATTTTTCAACATAGATTTTGATATAGATATATGGAGTACAGTATTAGAAAAAGTAAAGAAAGTAGAACGAAACCTTTTTGTTTTTTATAAGCAAATTAGCAATAATTTAGACTGCAATTCTAGCATATTTTTATTTTTTTAAATTATTTAAGAATATTTGAATGAACATAAAAATATTTTTACCAGTTATGATTTAACCTTTCAATACCAGCACATCTGCAATTATTGAGTATAATGGGATTAAGTGTACTATTGTTTGTGGACATATTTTCATGTCAAACACTATTGGATAAGAACTAGTATCTGTATATATAGAACTACAATTCTTACAACAGAACTTGTCAATTAATTTTTAAGAAAGTCTATCTTCTGTGAATATCCAGGAATGTGTTAGATAAACTATCATTTATTGTTGTATAAAATTACTTCTCTATTTTTCTATCTGGTTTAAGACAATATATGACTCTTATTTTTGATATTCTTATTTTGACAAAGGCCGTTCTCATTAAGATTTCAATATATGTATATTTCTTTGTTGTTCTGGTTGTAGCCCATGTTGCACACGGTTCTTAAAAAAAAAAACTAAATGGTATATTTTTCTCTCAAAAAGTAAAATTTTCGAGAATATTTGGTGTTAAAAGTAAATAATTTATTCATTTGAAATTTTTTTCTTCAAAGAATTATACTCCAGTCACTTTTAAGATTTTTATTTCTCTGTCTTATGGAATTATTATTTTCAAACAATATTTTTTGCAATTCAGCAATATTATTAAAATATATTATTTCTCCAAAACAGACTCTAGATTCTTGTAGATTAGTAATATTAATAATAGATACTACTTCTGCAAGACAGACTCTTTAGATTTTTGCAGTACAGCAATATTAATAATAAAAATATCTCCAAGATAGTCTCCTTAGATTGATGTAGTTTAGTAATATTTATAATAGATATTATTACACAAAGATAATCCATTTAGATTTATATAGTTTGTCTTTATGAGAAATAAATTGTCTCTATTTATTTGATGGTAGATAACTGTAACTAAACAGTAGAAACCAAACAGTAAGTTATTTCTTCAGATCACCTATTTTTTAGTGTTCTTCAATATCTTTTTACCACTATATTGATATTTTTATGGGATTTTAAAATATTTAATTAAATTATTTTACGTGCTGATCTTACATATTTTACAAAGGTATTATGCAAATATATTTTAACTAAATTTTCAAAATAAATAGCATATTTTACATTTTACATAAAATTAAATACGCTAGACTTTCGTATTTACTTTAACAATTTAACATAATATTATGAAATGCAAATAAAAAAAAAATTTTTTTTCAATAAAATTATCACAGTCTAAATTATTAAACTAAACACATAATAAACATAAATTCAATAACTAATAACAATTAAATTTTGTTTTAACATTTTGAAACAATGAAACTGATTTAAGATCTGTGGTTTTTATAGAGCTATTTTGTGTATTACATTAATTTCAGTTTAAGCTTACATAACTATTTTTATTTATATAATAAATTTTCTTTAGTATTTTTGTATATATATTTTTTTTAATTTTTATTGACACACATAGTATAATTATTTTCTGATTTTTTTGTTTTTTTATTTTTTATTTTTTTCTTTTTTGTATTCATGATGTTAAATATTTAAAGTTAACTAATATACTACACACTCACAATAATAAGAACTACAACGTACTTCATACATAAATATATTGTATAATATAAAGTTTTATATTGTTTTTTTGTTTTCTTTTCTTATATTAGCATTTTATAATTTTATTTTCGTAGTTTTCACAGTTAAGTATTTTATTTTGTTTTAAACTTAATAAAATACTAGCAAAAAATTTTCATGTAAAATAAATATTTTAGTCGTGTTGATTAAAGAGTTAAAAATATGTTTTTACACATAAATCACAATTGTTTAATTTTTAGTGAATTTTGATTTGAAAAAAAAAAAAAATAATACATAAAATAAAAAAGAAAAGAAAGTAATATGGGTTAGAATTAAAAACAAAAAAACTTGCTTCAAATCTATATAATTTTTAATAATTATATTATTTCTTTTTTTTACATTAAATTGTCTTAGTAAAGAACAATTTTAAATAGTTAGTTTAGCGGAAAAGGGTCCATCATATAAATTCCAACGTTACCACAATGTAGTCCTTTTTTAACTTTGTTTTTTTCTTTGTTCTTTGTAAAATATTTAGTTTTTATTTAGAATTACTTTGTTGTTGTGGTATAAAATTGTTTAAAAAATTACTTTTGTTCTAGTTTTTCATTTGTTTAAACTATTGTTCCATATAAATATGTATATGCTTTTATGTGCGTATATATATGTGTGTGTGGTCAGAGTGTCTTTTTTGTATATAGATTTGAGTAGAAAATAGTTATGTGTCTTATATACATTTTTAATGTATATAAATATTTTTTTTTGTTTTTTTGTTTATTTCAATAAGAATTCTTTTATATTGAGGCATATGTATTCGTATTATATTTTTTTTCTCTGTAAAAGTGTAGACTTTAATTATATGAACTGCTCGTTAAAATGATTAATTTACTATTATTTCACACATATAAACATTCATGTAAATATTATTTTATAATTATAGTTTATGATATATTTGTAGCTTGACTATTTATTCCACATATTGTAAATTATTTCATCTATTAAAATAAATTATCCATTTAGCATTGTTTATTGTTTTTTTTTCTGTCTGTTAAAATTTTAACTTAAAAACAAATGTGTTTAATTACAGATTTAAAAAACTTTTTTTTATTTTTTCTTAAAACATTTCACTAAAATTTGTAATAAATTTACTTAGTATATAATTTTACCTATTGATGTACTTTACAGTAGGTGTTTATCTATTAAATTGATTTGTAAAATATAACTTCTTTTCTTTTTTCCTTATCATGCTTTTGTTTTTTGTAAGTTTTCACTTTTATTATTTTTTATTATTATAATATATATAATTTTATTTCCTTATAAAGCGTTACCATTGGTGGTACCTGTTACAACAGTATATTTACATATCGCTGATGACATGGTATTTTGTTGCTGATGTTCTTGTTGCTGTGGTTGTTGCTGTTTTGAAATTTAAAATGTTTTATCGATGATAATGATGGGCGGATTGTTGATTTTTTAAGTTACAATGTTACAATGTTGATTGTTATGATATTATGTAAATATGTTATACTCGTATATTATGCTTTTATCTAATGTTGTTACAAATGTTGATGGTGTATGACTTTGTAGCTGTAGACTTCCTTTATATGTGCTAGTGTTGAGGTGGGAGTTATTTTCGTTTTAGATTCCTTTTCTGACCACTGTTGGTACTACATTTGGTGTTGTTATTACATTTGGTAATGCAGCAATCGAAGCTACGTTTACAACCATGGACTTTAGCATTCGTATGCCTAGGTACTGTGTGCTAATTTGTTGTAGTGCCTGCGCGCCAACTAAATGACTATAAGAAATAATAAATTAATTAATTTATTTATTTTCAACAATAATTACAATTTATTCAAATAATAATTAAATGTTTATGTGTTTAAAATTTATCGGGCTTGAGGTCGTAAGATAGTCTGAGACTGTCTATCTACGAAGTAGACCAACATCTGTTAAATACTTTTATTTAACAGATATTTTGTACCATCACAGTTGTTACGTATATACTTTTATATACATAACAACTGTTGAGGCGGGGAAATCTAGTCACTTAACAGAGCGGGTTCTAAAATCGATTAGGCTCAAGTCGAAATGTGCATTGGGACAGTAAAACAGATGGCGAGAAAATTGGGAGTAAAACTGCAGTTAGAAAACTGAGAATTGACGCATTTATTGGTCACAAGCAACTATTCAGCAAAAGCTATATCGTGATTTTAGTTGAGATAGGACAGTTCTTGCTGTATGTGGAAAGCGTCTTTCTACTCAGGACATATTAGGCGGAGGCATATTGAGAACTTTATTGTAATGCAACCGTGGTACTGCATATGTGTGGAGGTTTTTAATAGGTAAGCTTCGTTTATCATGGTTTAAGTCTATTGATCTTTTGTGAAGCAGTAAAAACTCGAATTATTAAAAGTCATTTCAAACTTGGTTTAGGCACCAGGAGTAACCTTTTAAAAAATAAGCATGTTTACGGTTACAATACCGTTTATTTTTTATATCTCTTAATATTGGTACACAGAAACATAAAATACATGATAGTGATGAATTATGAGGAGTCTTGAAACATGTGTGAACCGTAATTCAATGGATTGCAATGAGATTTGTGACCCCTAATAAATATGCTAAAAATTATGAATAGAAAAGGACAGATAGTGATGCAATGAATGGAAAATACACGTGGAGCGGTTTTGCGATTGAAATAACCTTATAAAAAGGCTAATTTAAGTAAGAAGGATAAAAACAGAGTATTATTGAGTTAAGCTTAATAGTAGTTCTTCTAATTAAAGATGATCTCAATTAAATCCTAAAGAGTTCATCGTGTATTATACAATTGCAAGTTTTTAAAAACGCTGGATAGTTATAGGACTTTTGAATAGATAAAGCCTTATTATGTTTCGTTTTGATAAAACGAATTTAAGGAAATATAACATTCCACCGGGTCACCTAAGCTGTTATAGTTAATATTTACTATGCAGTTTTTACTATGCAGTTAAAACATACATACTTTATTATTCATGTTTTCCTTTGGTGGTGAGCTACCATTAACTGCGACTTCTGTCTGCGCATGCGTCAGTGCTGTTCCGCCAACAATGGATGTTGCTGCAATTAATTGCGCAAAATTTCCACCGTAATTTACTCCATTTATATGAGCTGGCGACGTTGCTAATATCAGTGGAGTGCCAATTGGTAAACTTGTTGCAGCGGAAGGCGTTGTAACAGAGACAATTGTGTTATCTGCTTTGTGTCATGAAAACAAAAATACAATTTAAAACTAGATTTCTCAAAAAACTAAATTAAGAACATACCTTTTATTAGAATGCCATTATTGGAGCCAGCGGCGGCACCTCCATTTACAAATGTCAACTTGCCATTTGCGTGATAAAAAGCAGTCGCTGGTGCGCCACTTGTTTTGAAGCCATTTGCACTGCTCGCAATGTTGATGTTGTTGTTGTTGTTATTGCTCGTTGCTAATATATTCAATTCCGCTCCACCAGGCAAACGATTGATATGGTCGTTAGCAGTTATAATGCTGTTGTCGTTAGTGCTGCGACCATTGGTGTAGGCGTGATTGACGACTAAACTTCCGCCGCTGACAACCTGTGATAATTGTTGTTGGCTAACTGTAGCGATATTATTTACTGCACATTTCATTTGGTTATTTGCATTCTTACTGCTGTCATCATTGATCGTTGTAGTTCTAGCATTTTCTGTTGATTGCAAACCATTATAAACCTTAACGTATTTGGCAGATTTTTCACCATCGTCATAGGTTGTTCTATTTGATTTTGAAGCATTTCTAATGGAATTGGTTTTATTTGATTTCAGTCCATCACCAATGGATAAACTTGTTTTTCGTCCACGGTTGCTGCGGTAGCCATTATTTATATTTGTTGGTGCTGTGGATATTACAAGTGATTTGATGTCAGCTTGGTTTTGGTTTTGGTTGACGGCTTGATTGGCTAAGAAGATATAAAATGCAATTGTTGTTGGTTCAATTTGTACAAACAGTGGGCGTGGCAACTGATGGCGTACTTGATGGTTATAATGGTGGTAGTGGTATTTTTGTGGCAGATGATGCTGTGGTACAGTGGGAGTCAAAGTTTATGGGTGTTTTTTTTTTTTTTCGAAATTTAAGGACTTAATTTGTGGAAGCATAGAAAGGATAGGGTGTATAGTTCATAGTTGTAAAGTTGTAGAAGTTGTTGTTCTTGTTATTGTTATTGTTGATATATAGAAGTGTAGTAAAATAGTATTTAATTTAAATTTGATTGCATTTTTCTTTATACAATTTTTTTTTTTTAGTTCAGCTACTCTAGCAATATTTCCGTTTTATAAATGTTTTGCATATATGTCCAGGTATTTAGAATATTCCATGTACTTTAAGCCCATCTCTTATCTGCGTTGGTTTATACTAAGTGGCAGCCCTTTAATGCTTGCAGCATTATTGCTAATCAATCGAAAGTGTATCGAAGCCATTATTATTAATTTTGAGCATTTATAACAAAAATGCAAAAACATTAGCAAATGCTGAATAAAAATGAACAATTATTTTAGTTCATATTTATATTAAAAACATTTGCTAATATTTTGATTTTTTTGTTATTGTTTTTGTTTTTTGTAAAATAAATTCAAAAAATTACTAATTAATTTACTGATATTTAGCTTCAAAGAACACTTTTCGTGTGAAATATCAGAGAGATCGTATCAGAGAGCGAAAACGATTGACTACTAATACTACTACTGCTACTACTTTTACTGAAAAATACTTTAGTGCAATAATTTATGCTTACCGTTGTTGTTATTAACAATGCCCACACTTCCGGGTGCTGATGTTGCTATGATGGTGGTTCCATTTCCTATAGCGCCACTATTTGGAATGTTGACGGCTTTATTACGGCTGCTGATCACACCGTTCATGGGCGGAGATGATGAAATCAGAGATGATGACGATGATACACCACTTGATGAGGACGGTGAAGGAGATGGTGTGGATGGCGTTGGTGAACCGCGTGTAAGTGCTGTAGCGGTAAGTGATAATGGCATGCTATTCATATTAACAATGCCATTTAATACAGATGTTGGACTTCCCGTAGGACTTATATTATATTGGGCAGCACCATTCGTTTTGACATAATGTTGCAACATATTAGGTGAAACGGGTGATGTAGTGGAGGAGTTTGTTGAATTTGAGTGGTTTTTAGTTATCACAGGTGATATTGCAGTGGGCATGGCGGTTTGTAACTGTTGCGTAAGAAAAAAACATAATATTAAATAAGAATTTTTAATTAAAAGTTATTAATGTGAATTTAATTTAAAAATTGAAAATTGATTTTACTTACACCTGCGCCGATTGGAGACGACATTGTATTATTGCTACCGCCACTGGATAATGAACTTGATGAGCTGTACAAAATGCTTCCACGTCCAGAAGAAAGCGAATTTGAATCGTTTAGATTATCTAAAAAACAAAAACCAAATATTTTTTTAATTATTTTAAAAACAAGAAATTATAAATTTGTTTGTAAATATTTATATAAAGATATATCTTTAATGACGAAGTGAGAGATCAAACATTTATATGCACATATGCAAGAAGCTTCGAAGAACCTCTACGTCGAAGAGCCTTTTTAGTCTTTTCACACGACCAGGAGTAGTTCACTATTCTTAACAGGGCCTCAAAAAAGTAAGTTCCTAGTAGTGAAAACTAAGACCCTTACAACACTAGGTGTACTGACCCATCTACTAAGTGACCACTTATTAGGTGTAGTGACCCATTTATGAGGTGAAGTGATCCACTTATTAGGTGTAGTGACCCACCTACTAGGTTGGTTACTACAACCACAACTAAATTGCTAAAACATCTCATATATATGTATATGTAATTCATTATAACTGTTCGGTTTTTGAATAAATTGAAAATATATATATGTATGTATGAATATATTAGAAAAAATTAGATTTGAATAATAAGAAAACTGTTCTGATTTTGTAAAACAGCACAGTTTTCTTTTTTTTTTTGTTAAGTAAAAGTTTTCCGATTAATTTAAACTTTTCGTTCATAAATAAAAATGCTAATTTATGCTATTCATTTCGCCATGAAGCAATATTTGTTATCCTTGAATATATGGAATAATTTATATCAATTTATGTGCGTATATTAAGCCATATTCGCTGAACAAATCCATCTGATGGATGCGAATTGTCTTAAATAATTGCATTTTATGGAAAATAACGCACATTTTGTGAAATCAAAACAAAAAGGGGAAAAAAACAAAACAAAAAATTGCAATAAAGTTAAAGTTTATCTTGATTTTTTTAAGATTAAAGAAAATTGTGAATTTGTTGTGATTGATTACAGTATGATAATGATAGGAAAACATAATAATCTGAATATAGTAGAAATAATGTTGATAATTGTTTTAGGGAAAAGATAAACCGATATCGTTTCTTTAAAAAGTAAATGTACATACTTCGATGCGTTCGTCAATATGACTGTAGTGACTATTTTACTTATAGAAACTGTTGAACACTGACTCTGAGCTTCAAATTTGGCAGGGCACGAGTTTAACCCCTGGTACTTGCAGTCTCAAAAAATTATTTACGAATAAATAAATAGAAGAAATATTTTCAAGACCACTGATGATCGGTATTTGACAATACTCGAATATGCAGCTATTCGGTTAGATCAGCTAAGAATTCAATTAATTAAAATAATATAAAAAAAAAATTTTTTTGTTGTTGTAGTACATTACTTTACGAAACCTCTTTAAAATAATTAAATTAAATATATAATAAATATAATGGAGCAAAGTGTTTTCAAAAGTTTCAAAACATACTAATAAACCTCACATATTATTATGTTTATTAACAATATATATATATTGGAATAATAAGATCAGATAAGATGAGTACTCTCAAAAAAAATTTTATATTAATAATAATTAAATGTTATTTCAAGAGAAATTATATTAAAAAGATAAACTGTTATAAAGTTCTAATGAATAAATCAAATAAACTTAAAGCGTAGGCGAATTTAATATAACTATAAAACATTTATTCGCTTACAACATAAATAAAAAATAATATAAAATAAATAAAAAATAATACAAAATAAATAAAAATTAATATAAAGTAAAAAAAAATAATATAAAATATATAAAAAATAATATAAAAAAATAAATAATATAAAATTAATACAGAATTTTTTTTCATTAGAATATTTTTTGTAGTTGTTTTAGAGGTTAAATTAATCCGTGATATATTAAATTTTTAGAATTATACTTAATAGTAATATTAAAACTAGCTAGATGAATATAAAATATGTTAATTATGATTTTAAATAATATATTTTTATATTATCATACAACCATAGCTTATATAAGAGCAATAGAATTATATATATATTTATATATCTTTGTTAATTATTTTAATAATAATTAAAAAATTTTTGTATATAAATGAAGCTCTCTATATAGTCATTGTAACGACTATTAGAAAATATTTATGTTAGTGTCTATTGAAAAATATCTTCCACATCTCATTCCAGTCTTATACAATTCTTACTATCTACATAACGAATACTGTTTCAACGTATCTCAAATGTAAGTTCATGTTCCAAATAAGCATTTATGCAACCAAAAAAAAAAAATAAAATTGATTCCAATACATTTTTAAATAATAAATATTAAATTTATCTACGAATTAAATGTGCAATTTTGGTAAATGTTTTTGAAGTGCAGTGTGCACTATTTCCTAAATGGCTCAAAATAATATTCAATACTTGATCTACTTTTTGAAAGTCGGACATTATTTGAATAAATAAATTCATTTTTAATTTTACGAATATCATTTGTTTATATTAACTTCATGGTTGATGTTACTACTCAATGCTTCTTGTATTTTCTATTTTTTTTATCTTATTTATTTACTTTTTTTTTTGGTTGATATTGCTTCCCTATTTTTGTCTCTCTAATTTCATGTGCGTGTTGTTTAATTTATGCAAAAAAAATCTTTATTTTATGTTAACTATAGCTAGACTGACCTCTCTCACTTGGAATGCCAGCAAGTTCAATGTCTGGTATTATACCAGACAATTGTTCAAATTTTGGTCCTAGTTCTCGTTTAAGACTGACTATTTTTTTCTGAAGCATAATTTTCTTCTTTGCAAGTTGCTCTACTTCCGTCTCCAAATTTTCATCTCTGTCTTTAAGTTCCTGAAATATAAATTTATATATGTATATTATAATAATTATAATTTTAATTAAGTCATTTTTATACGTACCTTAACAAATCTTATTGATTCACTTAATATTGCTAAGTTCGAAGTCTTTTTACGATCCTCATCCCTTAATGGAAGTTCATTTTTTAAAGCTTCATAACATTCCTTAAGCTGAGCTCGTCTATGCTTTTCTAATTTGTTGTGTACTTCGCGGGTGCCGGGACTAAAAACATAAAAAAATAAAAATAAAATAATTTAAATAAATAATATCAATAATAATAGAATGAAGTAAATAGTAAACAAATATGTATGTGTGTTGTTGTTGTAGTGACCCGCTGGGACCTGCTTTGTGAAGTCCCTTTGGGAGATGTTGAACGGCACTTAGTCGTCGCTGGCGACGAGTGGCTCCGGTACGTAGACCCGACCGTTCTTGGAACCTAGAGTTTTGATCATTTGTTTGACCAGCAATTTTTCTTATTGCGTTATATAAGAACAAACGCATAAACCAAAGCTATATATAAATGTAATTAACTATTTTTGTTACTTTAGTTATTTTACTTGTCTGTACTCTATTTTTGTAAAAACATTATTTTATGTATATTTTTACTGATGTGTACTGATGATGTGTATTTTCTTCCTTATCTTTAACTTCAAATAAATTGAATAACAAAAAAAATAAACTTACCCATTACTATTAGAGCTAATAGTGCGTCTTCGTCCACTTCCACTACCAATAGAAGGTGTAACATGTGTCAATTGAGATCCTTGCTGCCCTGTTGGCATTATCTGCATATAATGATTTCCACCATTTGCTTGACGCGGCGGCGAATGATTGCTATTACTACTGTTTACAGAATTCGATACATAACCCATGTGTGCATCATCCACAATCATGTGATTACTATTGCTATTGCCATTATGGAGTAACAGTTGATTTGCTGAAATTTTATTGGAAGAAAGTGAATAACTTCTTATACGAGAATGTCTATCTATTAGTTTTCTAGTCGACATTGGTGGTGGTGTTAAGGGTAGGGAGGATTTATGTCTCGGTACATTGTATATGGGTAAGCTTGGATTGTTGTTGTTGTTGTTTTGCGTTGGTATATTAATGGCTTTTGAAGTGCCACCAATTGTTGCCGCTGCTGAAGCAATACGTATGCCACCATTTAATAACATTTGTTTACTAGCAGCAGCATTACCAATAACAGCAACATTGCTGATACTTTGTTGCTGTTGTTGTTGTTGATGTTGCGTATGGGATTTTGTAGTTTGTTGTTGTTCAATTATTTGTTGCTGTTGATTTTGCTGTTCATGTAAATTACTTAATTGTAATGGCAGCAAAGTGCTAATAGGTTTGGAATTGGGAGATGAATTTTCAGTGATGGAAACATTTGAGGGAATTGCATCCTCTATTGATAAATAAAAAAAAATCAACAAAAAAAGGAGAAATTAGAATTATAACTTAAAAAAATAATGTAGAATAGGAATTTTATTTTATAAAATAAACAACAAATGCAAAACAAAACAAAACAACATAGAATAAAGCATAATGAATTAGGAGAGGCGTGGGGTGAAATGTATTAACAAAACTTATTAGCAATCAATGCTTTAATGAGATTATGTATAATGTTATGATTTTTTTTTTATTAAAAAGATATATAAATTTTATGAACTGTGATAAGACTTAATCATTGTAAGTTTGAAACAAATATATTTATCTTAACAATTTTTCAAGTTGCAATTGTGGTTGCAAAATACAAACAGACAGAGTTTATATACCAAATTCATTTAAGCTGACAATATCTGCTTTGTTCATGTAAATGGATATTTTTTTTTCTGTGTACAATACATACTTATATAGTTTGAACAATAGACAAATAATAAGTAAAATACAATACAAAACTCTATTATTGAGAATTGTAGTCCAAGATTGGAAATGCATTAACAAAGCCCTGTCAGCTCACAGATATGCACTAATAGAAATTCAACAAAAGTGCGGGCAAGTTTTATTGTTTTTATTTGTGCAATATTTTTGCAGGTGTATAAATTATAACTACGATGACGCATTTTATATATAAAAAGTATAGATAAATTCATAGAAATAAAACAAAAAAAAATTTGTTATACTTTTTATAAGCACTTGTAACCACTTAATATCTACTATACATTTAAATTCATTATATATAGATATATAAATTTTTATATTGAGTCAGTGCACTTGAGCTCTTTTACTCTCTATTAACTGGGAGATTTCTTCATAATCCCTCTCTAAGCCTTGACTGGATTATTGTTTATCACTTCATCAGACTAAGCAATAATTGACCTCAGATCTGTATATCTCTCCGAGGAGCCTGTAACCATTCTGAGATTTGATAACGTGATGATGGTAATCCTGTCACTTTTCATAAATAATTTCAGGGCTTTAAATTGATTTTGTATAAATGGGTTTTTGTTACATATAATTATAACTAATTAGTATCCTTTCTTATCCTGATGGGGTAAATCAATTATTAAATTTTAATAATGGATACCAGAAAAATATATCTTTTTTTATATACATTTTTTATCCCTATAAATATGCAATTATTACATTTGAATTAAATTGAATACATGTTCTTTCACCCCTTTCAAATATGCAACTAATATTAAATTGTTACCGGAGGAGATATTGATTTCTTTATAATGAAGATATAGTTAATTTCTTTTATTTTTTTATTATCGTTCGCACTATTGTGGATGAGGGATATGGTAGGTTTGTCAAGATGTTTATAATACAAAGAAGAAAAAATATTAATTTCGAATTTAAATGAAGAAATAAAAAATTCGTATTATCTACCAAAATGTTGGCATGTAAAATTTAAATTAATTATTAATAATTAATTATTAATAACATAAGGATACTTGAAGCGATAGTTCAAATTTTTTAATTGTTACATATTGTTTTAGTGATCCATATAATGTACTTAGAACTCTAAAACTGGAAAATGTCATGAATTCGCTTCAAATTTAAAGTGAAACAGCTATTCGACAATGTTACTGTAATTCATTTTGTTCTGGCACAACACATAAGCTGACTTTGACCGTTCAGATCTTAGTGATCAATATATTGTACTTGAACTCCTAAAATCCAAAGACGTCATGTATTCCCTACAGAGCTAAACTGAAACAGTTATTCCACAATGTGCCTATAATCTATAAATTCACTTGGACCACATTATCAAAAAAAAAAGCCAGATTACAGGAATGAAAACAAGATGAAAACAACAAATTGCTATATGGCAAGGGAAAGACCGTTAATCGATGAAGACAGCATCTTGCTGTGTGTACTATGCACTCGTCTCAACATCCATTATATGTATATATATATATAACATACTTAACTGTCTTTCTAATATCTTTATTATTTATATGAGGTATTAAAAATATTTTATATACAATTGTTTTCTCCTTAGAAATAATTTAGAAAAAATAATTTAAACAAAAAAGCATTTTTAATATTAAAGAATAGTAGTTTAGATATTTATTTATTTTTTTGTTAAATATTTGCAATACTGTAGTAACTGTGCGACCCCCTCTGTTCTCCCACGCAAAAAGCCACGTGAACTTAAGTTTTATCACGTTGCTAATCGGGGCCCACGAATGCATGAGCGGAATTCATTAAATTGTATTTAAATGCATTTGAAAAATATGAATGTTATGCGCTTAAACGTTTGTGTATATATATGTTTATGCGTACATAAACTGTGTATATATAAATTTTTTTCAATGTTTGATAACGAAAATTGTGTGCTGCTTTTTTATTTCTAATTTTTTTTTATATATATGTTAATACAAAAGATAAATGAGCTAAGCCGACCTGCAGCTTAAATTTTTATATGTTGTTGTTTTTGTTTTTGGTTGGTAATCACACACACACATGTTCATTTTTTCGCCTTCAAATTGACGTTGCGTTGAGTACATTGACATGATTTGCTAGTGATTACGTGTACGGGAACACATAAGTTACTGGGTTTTGTATGGAATTAATTGCTGACCACGATTAGGTGGATCATAATACCTCCACTCTAATTATGGAGAAACAGAACATCGGTTGATCGAATCTTATGATAAGTTCAAGAGTATAGAATAAGGAAAATATCGTATATATTGGAAATTTTCAAATGATTATATGAACTAAAATATATAATCAATATTAAAAAAATAAAAAACAGTTTTATTTTAAGATATTGGGTGAAAATAAATAAAGATTTTATCTATATTATTTTAGAAAATAATAACTATCGGAAATGATTACATCTCAATCACACTGCTTACAAGCAGATAATAGTACAAAAATACAAAATATAAGTTAATGGTGCAGATATTACTCACCATAAATTTCTGGGGTCCAACTAAGTTGGTTAACTAGACCGATTTCCATAATAATCTAATAGTTTATGCTAAGTAAATGGCTTAGATATCATAAGGCACTAGTAGCGTCTAAACTAGTTGGTCAACTAGCTTGGCTGTCACAATAATCTAACTGGTTTAAATAGATTAGTATAAAGAGAAAAACATAAGTTAATAGTAAAGATGTCAATATGGACTCGTATGGTCATAGTAAGTCAACTAGACTTACTGCTATAATAAGTATGAGGACTAAAAATAAAACTTACTGATTTAGTTCTGAACCAATAGACCTCTTTAGTTGAAGTGAGTTAGTCAACTAAACTGATTGCACAATAACCTTATGCTTTATATACAAAAGTATAAGTATTCGGTAAAGTAAAGTATAAAAGTATTCGGTTATCATAATGGACTCCTAGGGTTACTGGTTCAAATATCATAATGACGTCGTACGGTTTGAGTAAGTTAATAAAACCGACTGCCATAATTACTTATTGGTTTAGTTACATAAATATAAAAAAAAGCTAAGGTAATGGTTTAGTTATCACAATAGATCCATAGCATCAAAGTGAGTTGCTTTGGCATGGCAAGGAACCTGTAGGATCCCAGCGTGTTTATCAACTAGACTGACTGTCATTACAACCTAACGGTTTAAAGACAAGAGCATTAAGAAAAGATACAAGTTAATGATTTTGATATTTATAGTACGTGAGTAAGTCAACCTCACCATCATATTATGTGAATTGATCGACTTATAATACATTTCTGGTTCTACTCTACAAATTTCCTGATTGTATTAATGACAAGAATAACGGAAGATGCAGAAATAATGTTTCATTATCAATTATGTTTGTAATCATATAATATATCATTATCATATTAGTATAAATTAAGAATTTAATAAAGAGTTGAGTCATTGCCAGACAATGAAAGTATGAACTCATTCTCAGATAGCTGCTTAAAGCTTAAACAAAATGGAAAGCAAAATAATTATTTTTAATATTTGCAAAAATAGACAATCAAATTTATGCAGAACGTGGTTAAGCAATTGCAACACACAACGTGGAGAAAAATAATTAATAATAGAAAAATACTGAAATGACATAAGTGAGTGAACGTTTATTAAATTTAAAATTTAAATCAGTTACCGAGACTCTGAAAAGTTGTGCGAGGTAAAAACAGTTCATTTCTTGATTTTTTTTGTTTTTTGTGCTAAACATTTAGTGCACATGTCAAGTATTGCATTACAAAATGAAGTAAATGACTTCAGTTACACAGCTGTAAATTAATTGAATTCATATGCAATTTAATTTTATTTTTTATTTTTTTTTTTTTGTGTTCATTTCTCTGTTGTAAATTAATGCAATTATAAAGCGCTGACAGAGTTTATTAGTGCCAACAACAAAAAATTCTATTCTAAAACATGTGCAACTTATTTAAAATATTTGTTCTTTACGTACGTGCATAAGTATAGTGCATTGTATACATTGTATCTCTGTATCTAAGTACAATTGTATTGGTTAAACATATGCATTTGCACTTCACGTGTTGCTGATTAACAACGAGCAATTTAACGAACCCGTACTTAGTAATTTTATAGTTGCAATTACCGGATTTCCATTATTCAGTTAACACCACACAAAAGCAACAAAAGCAACAAAAAAAATATGAAAAAACTTTATTTTAAGAGTGCAATAAATAAGTTACTCATACGACACGTTGTCTAATATAAACGAAAATTTTATTAGTTTTTATTAGTATATATGAATAAACAATGTATTGTGTATTCTAATATTCTATTATATTTATAAAATATTATATTATTCAGAATATTTAAATAGCAGATAAGTTTTAACAATTGTGTAAATGAACGCATTACGAAGATTCAATGATATACATACATTTGTACGTAAATTCGTCCCTATTTAATGGAAAGAAAATTCTGACATATCAGTCATCAGATAATTTCGCTTATAGTTATGTTAGGAATCAAGCAGAAGATTGCATATTCCCTTCAAAGACTGTTGCCTAAGTGCGTATTTGTATTAACCAATGAATTTGTGAGTTTTTGTTAAAAAAAAATAGTGATAAGCCACTATAAGCTAAGCTTAGGTCGAAAAAGAAATTTTTCTGTAAAACATATTTTTTAAATAATAAGGATTACTAAAAAATATACAAAAAAAAATTGCAAAAATATTGATAAATAAATAATAAGGAATACTAAAAAATATACAAAAAAAATTGCAAAAATATTGATAAATAAATAATAATATTTTCCATAAAAAGATTTTAAATTAAAAAAAAAAAAACAAAAAAAAAAACAAAAAAGCCCTTTTTTTTAGATTTAAACAATAAGATTAGTAGGGTGTAATATGTTTATTACTTTCAAATAAAATAATGTTCTAGTCATCAAAACTTTTTTCAAACTAATTTACGAAAACATATTAGATAGATATATAGGCAGAGAAGTGAACTTAAGCCCCATCAGAATAAATTCGATTTACAGTAAAAACAGAGTATTAATGAAAACACGGAAGATTGATGCAATTATTGAAGTTCTTGAATAGTTGAAGTACAATAATGAAAATAATTTTAAACACGAAAAAAAAAAATACTTTAACAAGAAATGGTATAAGCCACGATTAAATGAATACACTTGCTTCGATTTCGATTAAATGGGTTATTACAATTAAACCAAATAGGCGATTGACCTCTTTTATTAGAAGAAAAAATTCTTAAAAATTAATTTACAAGTAAGCCCTCTTAAAATAAATAAGCTCTATATAAAGCACCAAATTAGCGAACATTTAATGAACTAAAATTGTTATAAAAATTAAGCTATTTAAATAAACAATTTTTCAGAATTTAAAGGTTGTAAATTTTCTATTGACAACTTATATCTTGGTATATATTGAAAATATTATTTCGTTCTGCCCTTTGAAATTTTTATTTTATTGATCTAAAACATACTTTCGGCATTTGTATTTATAAGAAGAAATACTGATAGACTGAAATCCACAAAAATCAAACAGTTGGACAAACTTATAGACTTATTAGATTGATTCACTTTTACTTGAATGATGAAGTTGTATCCCTTCAGTGTTGTTCGTCTGCCGAACACTGTCGACCTTTTAGGGGTCCTTCTGATCTGCATATCAACAATGCTCATTCAATTTATCACAATTAATAATCATATGAGCTCTATATGAGCTCAGCAATTCCAACCTAGCCTAAACTATATATCATCTCAAGATATAGATCTATAGACGTAGAGATCTATAAAGCAGATAACATGAAAGAAATTACAAAGATGTATACACGGTTTAAGATGTGGATAGGTAAAATAGTAGTGTGACAGATGAGAGGGTTAATGTATTTAAATCAATTTTTAAATTTTCTTAAAGAAATTGATAATCATTGTATTCAGAACGAAGAGTTTCATAAAAATGTGAACAGAATGACTAATTAAAATATCCATAAAATAACAAAAATATGGATAAATACCCTGCAAATAGTGACGTATCCATTTCTTTTTTGGTGGCGGCAATAGGTTTATATCATTTTCGTGTTCCTCGCAAGCATTCTGAGTTTGAAACGCTGATTGCGAATAAATTTCCGCACGTTGAGCACGTTTTCGTAAATTGCGTTTAAAAACCGAAGACGAAACTTTAGAATTGTGTAACGGTGGCGGCAAGACGAACTCATTTTTCGTAGTAACAACGTTATGTTGCCGCACATTGCATAAAAGCCTGTCACTTGCAGCGGTATTCACATCGTCATCCATATCCATGTCCACATGCACATCTACATCCACATCCACATCTACATTGCTATCGACATAGCCACCAGACATGCTAACAGCAGGCACTGCCAAGATGTTATAAACTTGTTCTTGTGCTGTGGACTGTGTTGAAGTAGTAGCGGCACCAGAAACAGCAGTGAGAGCAACAGCAGGAGCGGCGGCGGCAGCGGAGGCGACGGTGGCGGTGGGTACGATAGGGATTGTGTGCATTGCGGATGACAGTGAAAATGTTGGTTGTGCGCAAAAAGATGTTGTCATTGCACCATTTGTTGTTGTTTGAGGCAAGTCAGTTGACGCATTTTTAATGCGGTATGCGTTCAAACGTAAAAAAATGTCGGTTAACAAATTGATTGGCAACACATCAAAACTAAATGGCGTCATTGGTGTTGTTGCTGATACTGCTGGCGTTTTTGCCGTTTGTGACATTTGTGACATTTTTGGTACAGCTGCAGTTGGTGTTATAGTTGAGACTGCGTGCAACAAGTTGTTCATGGTGTGTGTATTTGGTGGTAAAAATATTTGCGGCGTTGTTGTTAGTGGAGTTGGTGTAATAGCATTTATTGGTGTTGCTGCTGTTTGCAATGAATTGGAACGTGTTAGGAATGGCAATGACGACGTATTCCCATCACCTGTACCGGCAGCAGCAGCAGTAGCAGCGGTAGCGGCACCATGTAAATGACCAGTATTGGTAAATTGCCAAGGTGATGTTAGCAACGACCTGTTGCGTATAAATTGCTCTAACTGCATGTTGCTGACATTGTTGGCAGCACTATGCGTTGTGTTATAATATTGTAATGTGTTTAATAATTCGTTTAATTGCATTTTTTGTAAATAACTTAATTGTATTGATTCTGTTTTTAATGTTTCTGTTTCTGTTTTTGTTTGAGTTTCACTTGTTACAAAAGCATCTTTTCTTGGTTCCCACATATTTGGTTAAGTTGAGTAGCCTGGCTGGTTGCTACTCAATTAAGTTGTCGGTCTGTGCTTCAACTCACACGGTTTACAATTGCAAAATAATAATAAACACTAAAGTAGTTTACAACCGGAAATTGCACTCAACACTATCTGCAAAATTAATCATTTCAGTTAACCGGCATTAAAGCATTTTACAGCTTTAAAGTCACAGTCATAAAAATTAACCAAATTAAAAAAAATTATAATTTAAAACTAAATCGTTAGCTTTGTTAGTTTATTTATTTATTTTTTTTTGTTTTTTTTGTTATTCGAACGCGTTAAAAATTGCAATTTTTCTTTATTGTTGTCTGACGAACCTGACAACCTTGCATTGTTGATTATTTTATTGTTGTTACTGTTGGTTGGTTATATTGTTTTTTTTTCGCCTTTTAATACGTTAAACCTTTTTTTTATTATACAAATTTATATATATGTATCTATATGTAAAGTTTTTATTGAAACAAGTTTCTTTTGTTGCTGCTGATTTGCAATTTATACCGAGTATGCGTGCATCGACAATGACGACAGCGACAACAACAACAACACAACGGCAGCAGCAGCAAAGTCGAGAAAACCATTCACATGAACGACTTTAAAGCGAATGAATGCCGCCTTTGAAAAACACCTTCAACAAAGCCTTTGATTTTGCATTTTACATTTCGCATTTTGTGGTGAGAACAAATACACAAAAGCAAAAACAAATATTATAACAACAGCTACACTAACAAAAACAAAAAGAAAAAGAAAAACTACCATCGCCAACGTGAATAATCAACAACAAGTAAAATATTTACGTACTAAACAATATCGGCAGAAGTTGGCGATTAACAAAAAAAAAAAGTGATATATTAAAAAAATAAGAAAAATTTACAAAAAAAAGGGGAAAAAAATTTAAAAAAATGTATAAAAAAACTAAATATAAAAAAATTATATATAAAAAAAATTATATATAAATAATTATATATAAAAAAATTAAATATAAAAATGAAATTAAAAAAAAATCAAATAATAAAATTATATATAAAAAATTGAAATTAAAAATAAAATATAAAAAAATAAAATACATAAAGAATATATAATATAAACAAAATAAAATAAAATCAAATAAAAAAAAAATTTTTTTTTCATAAAATAAAAACAAAAATTTTTTTCAAATTTTTAAAAATTTTTAAAAATTTTTTTTTTTTAATTTTTCTTAAATATTTGAATTTTAAATATTACAACAAAAAATTTTTTAAAATCAAATAAAAATCTTAATAATTTGCATATAGTGAGAATTTCTAGCTTCATTCTGGTTTTTATATTTTGGTATCATTTCTTGAACAATTTTTATATTAACCCTTTAGTTCACAAGAATGCTTGTGAACGCCAGCCTACAATTAAACTATTGAGATTGTATCCAGAATTAACAAAATTAAACCATAAGCGACTAAATATTTTACGAAACCACCAAATTTTATTTAATTTAAAACTATCTTCAGTAGTTTCTTCAAAACAAAACCTGAGAACTAGAGGGTTAAACAGTCAAGAAACAATCTGTGTATTAATTTAGGTACCATTTCTTGTTTTATACAATTCAAAACAATAATAATAGTTTCTACTGTACATAAATTCTGGGAGTAATTCTTTGAAGTATTTGGGCCTCAAAATTAATCCTAAATTACAATTTTCATATTAAACAAGATACAGGGTGTCAAAAGAAAAAAGTAGTAAAAAAAGTCTCAAAAATTTGCAAGAAGAAAAAACGAACTGAAAAGTTTAAACGGTAGTTTTTATTTAATATGTACACTCAACATAAGTTTTTGTTCAACAATAACTGGATTTGATGAAGGATGAAAAAAGTACGTTACGTTACAGGCACATACTTTCATTAATAGCTTCAATGATTTATATGAATTTTCCTTAAAAAGGGTCTAATAAATGAGTTTTTCAACCCGTAGTGAAAAGAAAGTTTTTAACCGTCTATTTCGAGATTTCAACTTGTGAGGGGTCGAATTGTACTAGGAAGATATGCTATGAGACTCGCTCTATACTATTAAGACTTTTGTTAGGGTTACGGCTATTCGGATGAGGAGAAAACTATATTCCACGTTATTTGTCAGTGCCTATTATTGGCTAGGAGATGATTAAAAATTTTTGGGCTTCTTTTCTTAATAATCTCTAAACTGTCTTCCTACAAAGTTATTGACTTGGTCAAGTTTAAAAACTTGTCATATTGGTTTACTTTCACCTTAGGGAAAGTCGTGCTTTTCGACGTTATTCATACGCTGATCTCTAGTCTGCGTATGAACAATGGTAATCCGTGATATCACAACGGGCCATTATTTGAGCTCAAATGGACTTTGGGCACAAGGCCGCTACTCCAACCTAAATTAATCTAGGAGTATGTACAACCTCGGTAACCAAGTGAAATACATTTTGAGTATATGTATTTTGTTGTTGGCATTTAACACTGTTACAATGTTAGTAGAGTTCGTAACTCAATATCGTGAAAACCCCTATTATTATTGTTTTTATTGTAACAACCTTTAACAAAGAAAATGTTATCTTGGGATCCATATGGATATAGATGTCAGTAAAATCATAAGATGATACGAAAATGGTTACGGAAATATTATTGTATTATCCGAAAAAAAGTGTAGTTATTAAAGTGACCGTATATAAATTTTTCGGATTACCTTACTATCTGATCGTAGCAGCAAAGTAACTTAATGCCACGACAATTACTTAAACTGCCCGGTTTTACAAAAAGTTCATGATAAATTTTTCTGCAATTAGCTTAATAATAGACTAGTTTCTATACTAACAGACACTTGGATATTGTATATTGAATATATAAGTTGATATATATGGGCTCCAATGTCTTTTAAACCCCACTAAAAACGTTCTCACAAACTTCATTGAAATTAAAGTTAAGGTCGTTAAAAACTTAATGCGAAAATGTTAAAATTTTGCTTGGTATCCAATCTACATTTTATTTTCGGCAATATAAAATGCTTTTAGTGGGCATCAATTATTGCATAACATATATGATATAAGAAAAAAGGAATCTTTTTGACATCGGTTCCAAACCTTGATTAATATTGCAAGCAAAAAAGTATGAACGGTTTACTATCCTGCAAAACGGTCTGTTAATATAATAAACTGTCCTTTTTAAGTCCTACGCATTTCATAAAAAAATTTTATTACTGTATAGCTACCTCAAGCATTTCGAATTGACATGTATTGCATAATATAGCATGGTTTACCGGAGCATATCAGCATTAGGCATGCAACAGCACGAAAATTGCAACTTGCGGAAAGTAAAGCTTTTTTTATTTCCCTACTTCTCTCCCATAAATGCAGAGTCCTTCATTGAGAATTTTACCACATATACAGACATACACAAGTACTCCACTGCATGCCACTCTAAAAATAGTTAAGCTTTTGCTTAAAGTTTCTATTTTTAGATTTAAGGTTCTGCACCGAATAGGTGTGTGGGCGTCTATTTGTAAAAGGGTGGGTGTTGTACATGTTCAAATTAAACGATGCATGGAAATGCATTATTTAACAAGAGTATAAGTTTTATGCAATGAACAATATAAATAGACAATATATTTGTGTATATTTTTTTTGTTGAAAAACACCCTAAATAGATATCAATATTTATTTTTAAAATTTTTTTCTACTTTCTTTTTTATTAGATCAATGAGAGCGATTCCGATTTTCGGGCAGGCGGATTTGACAATGTATTTTACTAAAACAGGAACGATACCAATCAATACGTTATTATTCAAGTAACTTTTTTAAAAAAAAAAAAATTAATCTAATATTTTCTTAACATTATAACCTATTCATACAGCTCGAAATAATGTCTATTAACTGCTGATCCCGATTCTTTTATTGCTGATATCAATGTATTTGTTGGTTTCAAACCGATTTATGTTAGTTTCAAAAAGAGATTTTAGTTCTTATGCTTCGCTATTAGAATTCACTTTTAAAATTTCTGGTGCATACTATTCTTCAAACCAAAGTACCATATCCCGAACTTAGGGAATGTCAAAAGCAAACACCCTGTATATCGTTTTTTTATTTTGTTGTTACTTGACCGATTAAAGTGGTTAACACTGACAATAAATCCCCCAAGCGCTATCAAAACGATTTTCTTGACTAAAGAACAATATCCTGAATTTATGGAACAATGGAAGCAAAAACCTTGTATATCATTGGTTTTTTTTATGTTGTCTTTTTAAAAATTCCTACATAAACTTCTACTCTATATTTTATGCATTAAAACTATTTACTTTATTATAGTTCAATAACGTTGCTTCAAATTGCAGCAGCTGACAACAAGCAAACAAAAAAATTATTATTATCGCCAGTAAAGGAATATGTGGAAATATCTCAAAGATAAAACAGCTGTTGGCAATTTGAGTGTCAACTGCGTTAATTTACCCTAGCCGCACAGTGCAATCTACTGTATCTGAACTTAATCGTCTTGAACAGAATGAACTTCTACACTTAGAAAAACACACACGTAACCATACACCATTTATAATAAAATATAGTCAACACATAAATATAACGATTATTTGGATTTGTTATATACAGAAATTAGTCGACGAACCTAAGCTAAGATATAATTATAGTAGAAATAAGAAAACAAATAATAGAAAATACATATTCTAATTATTTATAAATAAATATATACAATTTCGCCTACGACCATTAATAAACACAATTGAATATAATAACCAAACATGTGTTTGTTTGTAACAGTATACGATTATAATAAAATCATATACATTATATTATAGAATACATTATCACAGTAAAATCATGTTTAAAAAATTCCGTCAAATAAAATAATTACTGTAAGAATACAAAAATTATTGTTATGACATTTGATTGAGAAAAAAAACTTAAGTAATTGTCTATTTTTAATACATAATATTTCTATTTATAAAATCGATCAAAATCATCTAACTATTTACCCTTTATTGGGTAAGAAGATTTAAAATCGTTAGAGCCCCTTTTCTTACTGATCTGACAGAACTGCAAAATCAAGGACTTTGATCAGGTTGGTTCACTTCCACTTAAATAGGAAAGTCGTGCCTTTTGGCGTTGTTTGTACACTTAACAGTGTGCTCCTTTTGGAGGGTTTCTGGACTTCGTATGAACAACGCTAATCTTT